GCATAACAGACCCGGCGCGCGCAGCCGCGGCTCTCGCGTCTTCGCGTTCGTCGTCGTCGTCGTCGTCGTCGTCGTCGTCGTCGCTGTCTCCTCGCGGTCCCGCGCGCCGCACGCGGTCGCCCCCCTCCTTCTTCTTCTCCCTGCGCTCGTCGTCCCGCGCGACGTCGTCCATTCTTCACCGCTTCGACGACGTCGACGACGACGGCGACGATCGTTTCGATGTCCGGTTCGATCTCGGCGCGACTCCTCCCGGGTTCGATCGACGAATCGTCTCTCCCCTCGGGTTGGCATATGCGCGGCGCGTGCCGTCGCGAGGGTACGACGCGTCGTTCCCCTCGCGGCGGGCCTAGTCCGCTCGAGTGCTGTAGACTCAGTCGCGTCGTGATCGTCGTTCATCTGATTCGTTTTCGTTTTCATCGTCGTCGTCGTCGTCGTGACTGGTTCCCATACGACCGCGTTCGCGTGGTGAACGCCGTTCCTTAAGGACTTCGTCGTCGTCGTCGCGGCGGTCGCGGTCGACGACGAGGTCCTTCGTCGTTCGATATCCGCGTCGTCCTCCGTCGCCGGCGTCGGCGGCGTCGCAACCGGGCGCGACGCCCTTTTCTTTCCCGGGAGCGGCGGCAGCGGCACGAGAGGGATCCCGAACATCCCCGGCGGCGGCGGGAAAAACATCCCCGCGGGCCCGGGCGGCGTCCCCGTCGTCCCCGTCGTCCCCGTCACCGCGGCGTCCCCGTCCGTCGTCGCCGCCATCCCTCGTCTGAGCCCCGCGCACTCCGCCTGCGCGCACTGCACCGCGTACGTCAGATGCGCGTTGATGCGCTCGAGCTCGCGGCACCGCGCTCTCAGGCAGTCCATCTCCGCGCGTTTTCTCATGCGCGACGCCGCCGCGGACGCGCGGTTGCGGACGAGCCGCTCGCGCGCCCTCTCGCGCTCTTCGTCGTCGTCGTCCGTCGTCGTCGTCGTCGTCGTCGTCGTTCCGGCGGCGGGTCCCGCGGAGAAGACGAGGTCTTCGTCCGACGCGGCGGAGTCGGAGCCGTCGCCGCCGCCGCGCGAGGGCGCGGTCGCGATCTGGGCCGCGGGGGGCCGCGTCGAAGCCGCGCGCCACGGGTCGTGCGGCGGCGTCGCCGGCGGGGAGGACGACGTCGCCGCCGCGGAAAGTGCATCTCGCCTCGCGCGTTTCTTGTCGCGGCCGCGTCGTCCCGCGGCGTCGTCGTCGTCGCGCGCGTCGACGGCGAAGGCGTCGAGCGGCGTCGTCGCGTTCGAAGCCTCGAGAAGGATGCCCGAGGCGACGACGTCGCCGTGCACGTCGTCGAGCCACGCCTCGATGCCGTCCAGGTCCAAGCACGCGTCGTCGAGCGCGTCGAAGTCGAACGTCGCGGCGGGTAGGGGGGAGGCGACGCGCGTCATCGTCCGTCGAGCGCGCCCGGCGGGGGCGCGGACGCGCGCGCGAGAGTGAGCGTTTCGCCGAGGACTCGTTCGTTTTCGTGCCAGCGCATTTACAGCGCGACTGACCAATCAGAGACGCTTATTTCCAGTACGAGTACGAAATTCGTACTTCCCTGACTACGATCCATACGTTTCCGTGGGCTCCGACCAAAAATCGGGCGCGAGCGCGAGAAAAGCGCTGCTTCCGTCTCTGATCATCGCGCCACTCTAGCGACGCGACCGGCGGGTCTCTCCCTCCCTCCCTCGATCGCGCGCGCGTCCCGTCTCGCACGTCGAGCGCGGACACGCGCGCGCGTCGACCGGGTCGCGCCCCGGCGGGGGCGCGCGGGAGGACGCGCCGGGGAGAGCGCGGCGAGCGAACCGAAGGAAGGGCGCCGGGAGCGACGAAGTGTTCGTTCGTTCGTCCCGAGCCGAGTCGCGCGGGGGCGGGGAGATCGAGCTCTCGCTCGCGGCGCGCCGACGCTCCCCGTCGCGATGCCCGAGGACGATGCGGCCGCGGCGCTCGTCGCGGACAGCGTGGAAAACTCCGTCGCGTTCAAGGTGCGCGCGAAGCCGTCGCTCGTCCCTCCTCCCCGCGCGCCGTCGCGCGCGTCGATCGATCCATCCGACGCACCTCCTCGCGTCCATCCATTTCCGTCGCGCGGCGCGTCGCATTGACCCCTCGCCTCGTCCGCCCCGCCCGCAGATGCTCGACGTCCTCCTCGCGCAGGGCGACATCACGTCCGACGCGGCGGAGAGAGCGAAGGCGAAGTACCGCGCGCACCACGCCGCGCTGAAGGACGCCGTCGCCGCGGATCGCCGACTGACGCAGCGCGCGACCGCGCTCGAACGCGAGGCGACCAAGGAGCGCGCGCGCGCCGCCGCGGAAGCGTCCGCGTCTCGCTCGCGCGAATCCAGCGCGCCGAACTCCCCGGCGGCGTTGACCGCCTCGGCGACGATAATTTCGACGACCCCGCCGCGAACGCCCGGGGTGCGGATGATGACCGCGGAGGAGGAAGCCGCGGTGGATCGACTCCGCGAAGACGCGGAGGCGGCGGCGACGGAGGCGGAGCTCGCGGAGGAGCGAGAACGCGAGCTCGCGACGGAGCAGTATCGCCTCACGAGACAGAGGGACGAGCACAAGCGGATGATCGCCGCGGTGGAGGCGGAGCACGCGGCGGCGATGGCGCCGAAGATCGCGGAGATCAAGGCGGAGAGCGTGAAGCTGACGGAGGAGACGCGGAACGATTCGCTCGAGGTGGAGGAGCTTCGACGCGAACGTGACCGGATCGCGTCGCGGCTAGACGCGCTCGCGTCGTCGTCGACGACGGAGCGGGAGGACCTCGATGCCGCGCGGGACGAGCTCGCGGAGCTCGAGCCGGTCCCGGAGAGGATCCGGAAGCAGAGCGACGTCGTGGAGAGCGGCGTGAGAGGACTCAACGCGAGCGTCGGCAAGCTGGACGCGAAAATCGCGGCGTTGGAACACGCCGTCGAGACGCACGCGGCGGAACGCAAGAAGAAGATGGACGCGCACGACGCCGCGAGCGAGACGCTGAAGAACACGGAGATCGTGTTGGAGCAGAAGATGGGCGCGGTGGACGACATGCGGTGCGACCTTGAGCGCGAGGGGCTCGAGGGCGATAAGCTTCTCGCGGACGCGGTGCGCGCGGCGCAAGATTTGCGATCCATCGACGCGGATAAAAATTTCGCCGTCGCGGAGCTGAAGAGGGAGACGAAGGATAAGGAGACGAAGCTCAGGCAGCTGCGGAGCGCGGAGTTACTAGACGAGCAGATGAAGGCGGCCATCCCGGCGCTCGTCGCCGAGCGCGATAAGCTCGCGATGGAGGTTGCCGCGATGGAACGCGAGCGGCGAGCGCGCGAGGAGGAGGCGTCGGCGACGAAGAAAGAAGTGGACGCGAGGATGAACGAGTACCTCAAGGAGGAGAAGATGGGGAAAGCCGCCGCGATTGTCTTCCAGGCGTCGTACGAGGACGTGAAGGATCTGGAGGAAGAGGTGGGGCACCTGAAGCGCGAGGAGCACGAGCGAAGGATGTTTTTGAAAGAGCTCGACGCGCAGCGCGAGCGACTCGCGCGGACGGCGCGACAGAAGAAGGAAAAAGCGAACGAAGCGTTCCGGCTGCTGAAGTCCAAGGACGACGAGGCGAGGGACCTCAACGACAAGCGCAAGGACACGAACCGCAGAATCGGGGAGTTCATCTCCCTGTTCGACGTCGTCAGGGATCAGAAGAACAAGTTCGTGCAGCTCATCACGGAGGCGTCGCAGAGAGGCGCGGAGATGCGCGCCAAGCTGAAAATTCTCGCCAACGAGATCGCCATCTTACGCGAGGAGACCGCGACGAAGGACGCGCAGACGAACACGTCGCGCGTCGCGCTGCACAACGCGCAGACGGAGCGGAACGCGCTCCGCGCCGAGATCAACAAGGCGGCGGTGATTTTCCGAGCGAAGCAGACGGAGGTTGACGAGCAGCTGTCCGAGATGGACGTGCTCAACGACGCCATCAACAAGGCGCGTTCTCCTCACACTGGTTCCCATACGACCGCGTTCGCGTGGTGAACGCCGTTCCTTGAGGACTTTCTCTCCCGGCGCATCTCTCCGCCCAGGGTCCCTCGCTTTCAATCCCGACACACCTCGACGCCTTTCTACTCCATCTGACGCCTTTCGACTCCACCCCGACGTTCGCTCGTACGGAACGACCCCAAGGCCGAGCGCGAGATGTTGCGGACGCAGGCGCGGTACGAAAAGTCCGTGGACGCTCGAAACGCGAACGGCGCGACGCTCATCGCGCGAGACGACGAGCTGTGCGCGCTGTACGAGAAGCGAACCGTGCAGGAGGAGGTTTTGAAAGCGGGGGAGACGGAGCTTCGCAAGCGCGACGACGAGATCAAAATTCTCCGAGCGCAGTTCGCGGAGCTCGAGCGCGCGCGCGAGCTCGCGCGCCGCGACGTCGCGGACGTCCCGAAGACCCAGGAGGAGGTCGCGTCGCTCCGAGCGCAGCTCGCGGCCGCGCGCGCGACGACGGAGAAGCTCTCCGCGCAGGTGGAGGACCCGAAGAACCTCGCGCGGTGGCGGCCGCTAGCCGGGAAGACGCCCGACCCCAAGGAGCTCGCCGCCAAGCTCGAGCAGCTGGACGCGCGCGTAGAGGAGAAGACCGAGCGCGCGCGGGAGCTAGACCTGATGCTTCAAGAGATCGACGCGCTCGCGGAGCAGCTGAAGGACGTCGCGGTGGACGGTCGCGAGGGGACGTTGGAGCTGGCGCGACGCGTCGTCGCGTATCGCGCGCGCGCGAGGGAGGTTGATAAGAAATTGATGGCGACGACGTCGGAGCTCAGCATGTACCAGGCGGCGGAGATGAAGCTCGCGGCGGAGAGGGAGGACCTCACGGAGGAGATTCTCGAGGCGAGGGAGCGGCTGAACTTGGGGCTGCCGCCGACCGAGGACGCGGAGCGCGAGTGGAGCCGGATGGAGCGGTCGAGGGAGATGTTGACGGAGCAAAAGACGCGCGAACGCGACGAGGAGGAAGAATTTCGGCGGTTTCCGAACGGGACGTGGGCGCAGAGCACGTGCGAGCCGCGGCCGAACGCGTACGTTCCCACGGACGGCACGTCGTTGGGCGTCGCGCGGCCGTACGGGAAGCACGCGCCGTTCAAGCCCACGGAGGCGGGCTCGACGATGCGGCACATACGCAAACCCGAACCTCGGGACATTCTGCTTTAGAACTCCTCGCTCCCTTGGACGGACGAGGAGCGTAGCGTTTACCCTCACTTAACGCGCGATCGAACGATGTAGTCAACGCATCGCGCGCGTTCGCGCGGTGGTGGTGGTGGTGTACACGTGTGCTCTCGCCGCTCGCTACGACGGCGCCGCGACGAGTCTAAAAAAATGCCCTCGGGAGGGTCCACCCACGGAACCTCACGGCGCGGCGTTCGTCCTCCTCGTCCCTCGACGTCTAGCTCGCGGCGACGCCGATCAACACGAGCGCGATGCCCATCATGAAATACTTCGCCGTCGTGAATATGAACCCGAACATCACCGCCAGAGTCTTAAACAGCGTCCCGCCGAACCAGATCGCGAGCGCGCCGGCGACGACGAACCCCAAGATGCCCTCGTTCGTCAGCGAGTCCCCGCCCGGGAGCTTCTCCGTGCTGACGTTGAACACCGTGCTGTTCGGATACTTCGGGTCCTTCGCGCCCCAGAACGTCGCGCTCGTCACCGCGAGGTCGCCTCGCTTGACCGGACGCGTCTTCCCAGCCGCGGCGCCGCGCGCGAGCGCGGCCGCGGACAACCCCGCGCGGCTCGGCGTCGACGCGGAGGACGCCCTCGGCGCGATCGCGCGTTGGCATCGCGCCGCGGACGCGCCGGTCGCTCGCGCTCGGAGCGCGTTCGGAAGCGGCGGCGCCGATCCCAGGCCCGCGATCGTGAACGCCGCCATCGTGTCCGTCGGTCGATCCGCGCGCGGCGAAGTGGGGAGGCGTCCGCGCCACGCTGGCGCAGGAAATTACCGTAAAAAACGCGATAAGACGAAGCGAGGGCAACCTTTCGCGCGAGGGGAGATCGCGGGTTCGACTCGTCGACGACGGTTTAAAAAAGTCTCGTGTGGTTCCTTCGTGCGTCGTCGTTCAAGTCTCTTTTCATGCATTTCACACTCAGCGCGTCACTTTCCTCCGAGCGCGGCTCGTCCGTTCGTTCGTTCTCGCGTCGACATCAGGGGGTGAATCCGATCACCACCCGCCGCCGCCGCCGCCCCACTGACCTCCTCCTCCTCCGCCGCCGCCGTTGTTGTTCCAGTTCCCCCCCCCGCCGCCGTACTGACCGCCGCCGTTGTTGTTCCAGTTCCCGCCGCCGCCGCCGCCGCCGCCCGTGGGGCAGTCCCTCGCCCAGTGACCGCTCTCTCCGCACTTGAAGCACGAGCCGCCACCGCCTCCGCCGCCTCCGCCTCCGCCGCCGCCGTACTGGCCGCCGCCGCCGCCGCCGTTCGGGCAATCCCTCGCCCAGTGTCCCGGTTGCTGACATTTGTAGCACGTGCCGGTGGTCTGACCGCCGCCGCCGCCGCCGTACTGACCACCCCCAGTCGCGGCCGCGCCGCCGCCGGCCTGGTTCCATCCCCCAGTCGCGGCCGCGCCGCCACCACCGCCCATGCCCGCGCCGCCGCCCATGGAGACGTTCCGCGGCGCCGGCCGAGGCTCGTCCACGCTCTCGCCGCGTCGCAGCTTCCCGATCTGATCCAGCATCCGCTTGCTCTCCGACACGTAGTCGATCGCGTCGAGCTTGTTGAGGGACACCTTCACCCTCGTCTCGTCGTTGTACGTGTCGTCCGCCACCTTGAACTTCATCAAGAACTGCTTAAAGTTCGCGTCCGCGATCGCCTTCTCGTACGCGTCGTAGTTGGTGTCCATCAGCTCTTTCAACGCGCCCGCCGTCATGCCCATGATGACGTCGCCGGTGTCTCCGAACGCGCTGACCCACTGCTGCCCGGTGTGGTCCGCGACGGTCATGTTGATGATGTATCGCCACTCGCAGTTCGGGACGTGCTCGCCCGCGTGTCGCTCGCAGTTCCACGTCCCCATCGCCTCGTCGTATCGCAACTTTTTTTGGCACATCCGCTCGCCGTTTCTCAGCGGACACGCGGGGTAAAAACACCCCGCGTCGGAGGACTTCAAGTACGTCACGTGGCAGCGGCACTGGACCCAAAACGCGGGCGTCGCGCCGTCGCGCGCGATCTCCTCCTTGAGCTGCGCGATCGTGACGCACCGGTCGCCTCTTCCGCCGCCGCCGCTCGCGCCCGCGCCGCTGAACGCCTTGACCTCCGCGGTGGCGCCGCCGGTGTCGTACCAGTGCCTCAGCCTCGCCGCCTCGTCGACGTCGGGGTTGATGTCCACCCGCGACGAGTTGATCGTCCCGATGTTCTTCCCTTGGAAGTCGCCGACGCGACCGTTCTTGATCGCGATGACCGGGTGGTCGCCGTCGTTCACGAGTCCCTCGAGCCGCCCGCCGATGTCCAGCGCCTGCGGCGCCCAGAGCGTGAGCTCGATTGACGCGCCGCTGTCGTCCCGGAGCGTGATCGAGCGTTTCGACGTCTCCCCGCCGTCGCGCTTCATGATCGTGTTGAGCTCCCCGACGTGGTGCACGACCGCGCAGACGTCGACGAGGGAGCCGCTGCTGATGTGGTCCACGTCCGCGATCTTCTTGAAGGCGTAGTTCACGCGTTTGATGGAGCCCACGACGGCCGGGTCGTCGATCTCTCGCACCTCCGTGTTGTGATCCAACATCATCTCGAACTCGCCGACGCTGAACTTCGGGTTCCGCACCGGGCGAATCTGCCCTTTGCTGAGCTCGTACACGCTCCCGGCGCGGAAGACGTCCGCGAACCGCTCCGCGGTGTCCCCGAACGCGACGGCTTTGATCTCGCCGCCCTCCGCGTCCAGAAGCTCCACGTTGAACACCTTCCCGTCGCCCTTGTGGTTGTGGTACGTCCTGATCTCCGGATTGTTCGTCACCCTCGCGCGGATCGTCCACCGGTTGTTGTACGGGTTGAGCGACGAGATCGGAGAGATCTTCGCGGGCGCGTCGTTGCGCGCGGTCGGGCCGCGGCCGTACGCGCCGTACGAAGGCGGCGGCTCGCCGTATCCGCCGCCGCCGCCGCGCCCCTGATCTCCTCTGTACGCGCCCGCGCCGTATCCTCCGCCGTTACCGCCGCCGTAGTTCCCGTTCGCGCTCGGCGGCGGCGGCGCGCCGTAGTTCCCCGTGGGCGCGTTGCCGTACCCCGGCGCGGAGGGCTGCTGGCCGTACCCCGGATTGGCGCCGTAGCCTCCCGGATTGGGGTGTTGTTGCTGTTGCTGTTGAGGCGGCGCCGCGTTCTTGTCCGCGTCCGTCGCGGAGACGGGCTGGCCGATGATGTCCGGCGGGGTGTCGATCGGGGTGAGCTTGAGCGCGATGATGATCCTGCGAGGCGACGACGGGGGATGCGGTCGGTGAGCGGGGGAATGAGAGAACGGTCGGTCGCGGGACGGTCGCGCGGGGGAATGAAAAAAACGGAGGGGTGCCCAGATTGCGCCAGGCTGTGCGCGCGCGACGTCGACGCACTTGCGCCCTTGGACTTCGTTCGAGAAGTACTCCTCGAGCTGCACCACGGTGAACTTCTTCAGGCGGTTCTCGATCACGTGCGAGTTCAGCTGCGACGTGAGCATCGCGGTGACGTAGTGCGTCCCGTCCGAGAGCATCACGCGGAAGCGCGGCTCCGCGTTCGCCCCAGCCTTTTCGTCCTTGTTCTGAAGCGCGCGCAGATCTGAGGAGGAGGACGGGCGATTGGGAGGGAGAGGGCGCGTCAGTGGGAGCGGCGCGACGTCGCGTCGCGCGTCTGAGGGTTCGCGCGACGCAATTCGGGGACGATGCGATGGAAACGCGCGCGTCGACGCGAGAAGGCGCTCGCGGGGCGCGCGCGCTCGCGAGGGAGGAAAAACTTGGCACCGTCCGATTTCGATTTTCACGCACCCGCGACTTGCAAGATCGGACTGAGCCCGGAGTCTCCCGCGTGCAGACGCAGCGCCGCGCCCGGGGTGAGCGCGTAGCCGACCATTTCGAAAGCGAGTTCGCGCGCGAGGTCGCCTCGAGCGCTCGGGTGGTGGGTCGTGCGCGTGCACCGAGCAGTGCGCGCCAGATCGATCTTCTTCGTTTTTTGAACGATTTTTTTGTTCCCGCTCAGGGCAATTTCCCTTCAAAAAGAATCATCGGTCACTTGAAAGGGGAAGCGATCAATGTTGAAAGCGAGGCACGGGTGAAAAACGTGCGCCTCAAGCAGGTCGCGGACACGGCCGCCCAGGCAGCCAGGTAGCCAGGAGCCAGGACTCAGGACTCCTCGCGCGCTGCGCGCACACGTACACGTCGACCGCAGCGCTCCGAGACGTCGCCGACACTCGCGATGGCGCGATGATCGCCCGCGCGCTTCCGTTCAGCGCGTCCATCGCCTCGAAAACGCTCGCCCGTCGCGGCCTCCTCGCGAGCGCGCCGTCCGTCGTCCCTCGCGCGCCGTCGCCCGCGTCGCCCGCGTCGCGCAGTCGCGCGTCGTCCTCCTCCTCCTCCTCCTCCTCCTCCTCGGCGACCGCGGCATCTTCTTCGTTTTTCCCGGTCGCCGGTCGCGGTCGATCGACGCCGCCGACGCCGACGCCGTCGCTCGCGCGCGCGTTCGCGTTCGCGTTCGCCCCGCGCGCGCTCAGACGCGGCGCTCGCGTCGCGACGCTCTCGAGCGCGCGCGCCCCGCAGATCGTCGCCGCGCGCTCGTCCTCCTTCATCGCGTTCCAGGAGACGTCGCCGTCGGAGAAGGACGACGACGCGATGGCGGCGGCGGCGACGCAGACGACGCTCGCGCACAGCGTCGACCGCTACGGCGGCGTCATCGTCGACGCGGACGCGCTCCCGGACACCGCCGACGCGTTCGCCGCCGCGCTCGCGTCCTCCATCGCGCGCTGGAAGGCGACGGGCGTCCGAGGCGTGTGGCTCAAGATCCCCGCGAAGCGCGCGGAGCTCGTCGGCGTCGCGGTGCACGACGGCGGATTCGAATTTCATCACGCGGAGAAGACGCACGCGATGCTGACGCGGTGGCTCCCGACGGATGAGGACGACCTGTTGCCTCCGAACGCGTCGCATCAGGTGGGCGTCGGCGCGTTCGTCACGAACGGCGCCGGCGACGTGCTCCTCGTGCAAGAGCGGAGAGGCCCCGCGGCGGCGGCGTCGCGGCCGAACTTTTGGAAACTCCCGACCGGGCTCGTCGACTGCGGCGAGGACATCCCGTCCGCGGCGATCCGGGAGGTCATGGAGGAGACCGGCGTCGCGGTGGAGTTCGAGGCCATCCTCGGGATCCGACACGGGCACGACGTCGCGTTCGGAAAGTCGGACCTTTTTTTTCTCGTCGCGTTGAAGTTAGCCGACGGCGCGGAAGACGCGGCGATCACGATCCAGGAGCAAGAGCTCGCGGCCGCGGCGTGGAAGCCGCTGAGGGAGATGACGCACAACCCGCACATCATGCCGAACTCGCACATGGACCACATGTACGGCCTCTGCGCCAAGTACGCGAGGGAGGGGAGGCTCGCGAGCGGGATCGGGATGGGGTGGCAGTCGTTGCCGCTGGGGTTTAACCGCGACGGGACCGTGGTGACGTACAGCAACGCGCCGACGAGGGAGGTCATGGGGAAGGGCGGGGAGGAGGAGGAGGAGGAGGAGGAGACGGCGGCGGCGGAGACGGCGACGTGAGCGAGGGATAGCGCGTAATGTTATTGTATGTACTGTAGCTGGCTGTGGCGAAAATATTCGCGACGCGACGTCGCGAGCTGTCGCTGTCGACGCGAGCTTTTTCGGCGCTCGAATGACACGTGTGCTTTTAGTTCGGAAAGGCGCGCGGGCGCTGGAAGCACGAACGATGGGGGAGTCCGCTCGCGACGCGGTGAAGGCCGCGCGCGCGGCCGCGGAGAAGGAGGTGGAGTCGAGCGCGTACCCCGACGTCCCGAAGTGGCGCGCGAAGAACGAGGGGACGCGGTGGGCGAAAGTCAGCGCGGGGGAATGGGAGGAGATGCAAAAGAAACGACGGCAAGCGCTGCACGCGGGCGCGGGGCTCGTGAGCTTGCAGTTCATCGCGGACCAGTTCGTGCACACGTCCGCGAGCTTCGCGCTGTTCTTAGGGCTCACCGCGCGCATGATATGGCTGCGGAAGCACCGACGACGGCGAGGTGCGCGCGAACGCCGCGGATCCCGTCCCCACCCCGCGCAATTAATTCCGTTCCGTCTCATTTCAATTCGACGCAATTCCGCCCCGTCTTCCTCTATTCAATCCGACGCTCGCTCACTCGCCCCTCCCCCCCACCCCGCGTCCAGGCCCGATGGTCGCCGCGTGCACCGCGTGGGCGTCCCAGGCCGCGGTCCTCGCGGAGCCCATCCGAAAGGTGGCGCGCGCGCTCGTCTCCCCGCGGCCGCTGTCCCCGCTCGCCGGCTGGTCGCTGGTGAGACTGACTGCTTCCCATACGGACCCCGTTCGCGCGTCGCGCGTCGTTTCTTGAGGACTTCAGGACTTCTTTCGCGCGATGCCAGCCTCACGTTGTGACACGTGGGATCGTGGACCGCCAACGAGAAGGTCGCATCGCTGACACGTGTCCCCCCCCCCCCGACCTGTCGCGTCTCGCAGCTCACCGCCGGCGCGTTCGCGCCGCACCGCGCCTTCGTGAACTTCGCTCGGAACGTGACGCTTCGCGTCGCGCGCATCCCGCGCGTGCGCAGTCTGCTGCGACGCAAGTGGCCGATATGGGGACGCATACTGCTGAAGAATAAGATGCGCGCGGAGGTGACGTCGTATCGGATGGCGGTGAACGAGGCGTGGGAAGCGCTCGAGGGGACGTTGCCGCAGGATACGCTCGCGGCGATGCGCGAGGCGGAGTCCGTCGTCGCGGGGTACGGCTACGGCGTGCAGTCGCAGAGTAGCGGTGGTGGTGGTAACGCGTACGCGTACGACGACGGCGGCGGGGGCGGGGGCGGGTTAGGGGGTGGTGGGATGATGTCGAGTGACGGTCGCGGCGCGGGCGTTTTCAACAGACGCGACGGCGGCGGCGGCGAGACGGATTACTACGGCGAGGCGCTCAGCGGGATGATTCGACGGAGAAGCTCGGGAAGGCTGAACGGACGCCTGGCCGCGGCCACCGAGGACGCCGCGCCCGCGCTCGTCGACGGCGGGTCGTACCCCGTGCTCTCGCGCGCGGGCTCGGGAAGCGACGGCGACTCGCCGACCCGGAGCGGCGGCGGCGGGCGACGCCGCGGCGGCGGCGGGAACCTCCAGCTCGTCGCCTACAACGGCGCGAACGGGCACCACGGGCATCATCATCACAAGCGGCGATCACAAGGCGCGCTCGCGAAGATCACCGGCGTCGCGAAAGCGGTAACGCATCACTCCCGTCGGTTATTCATCAACGCGCCGTCGACGCTCGTCGGGGTGTTGACCGGACGGGAGCACGGCGCGGAGCTCTTCGCGCCGCACGGCGATCGCATGGAACGGCTGTTCGACGAGCTCGGCATGGACACTCGGTGCGCGTTCACGCGCGCGCAGAGAGCCGCGTTCTTGCTGCAGTACAACGGCGACGTCTCGAAGGCTGCGCTCGCGATGGAGCGCTCGCTGAAGTGGCGGAAGAAGTACCGGTTCATCCCGGATAAAGATTTGAAACGCTTCGAGGACGTCGTCTTCGTGCACGGCGGAAGACACGCGTACACGGGCGGCGTGCACCTCGTGCTGCGCCTCTCCGCGGTCTCCGCCGCGGAACGCTCCGAAGGCCTCGACGCCGTCGCCGCGGCGTTGATATCCCACGTCGAAGCGCAGTGGCGGCAGTTGCACGTCCACGGCGACAACCCGGGGAAGATGCGCGGGCGACTCGTCGCGCTCGTGGATTGCGCCGGCGTCACGACGACGTCTTTCCCGGCGTCTCTCGTCGCGCACACGCTCGTGACGCTCGATCACAACTACCCGGAGCTCGCCGCGGAGGTGCACGTCGTGAACGTGTGGTGGCTCGTGAAGCGAGGGCTCGCGGTCATGCTCGAGGCGACGTCGCAGCGCACGCGGAATCGCGTCAGGATGTACAAAAACGACGACACGGGCGCCGACAAGCTCGCGATTCGATTCAACCCGCACGCGCTTCCGTCGTGCTTCTCGCAAGGCCGCTGCGCGTGCAAGACGTGCAAGCGGATGATACGAGAGGGGAAGTGGGGCTCCGAGCGCGATCGGCGGACGTCGTCGGAGAACTTCGAGCACGGCGGGATGATCGGCCAGTTTCGCCGGTGGCAGGACATGACGAGCGCGCAGCGCCGGCAGTGGTTGCGGCACCAGCTGTTCTACTACCTCGGCCTGACGCTCTTCTGGCCGATGCACGTGATCCGTCTCAACATCCACCCCGTGCTCGTGGGCATCATCCGCGCGCAGTCGATGGCGAGGCGCTTCTTCTGGAGGCTGCGGCGCGGCGATCCCGTCGCGGCGTTCGCGGCGACGGTGGCGGCGTTCGCGAGCCTCGCGTTTTTCGTCGCCGTGGTGGCGTGGTGGGCGGAGTACGGCTCGACGCTGCTGATGGAGAGCGCGCGATCGCCGCCGAGGACGTGGGAGGAGGCGTGGGAGATGAAGGGGATGTTTCAGCGGAGCATAGGCGACAGCGTGAAGCGCAGCCTCGGGATGGATGGATAGCGTAGGGTGCGTAGAGGGACGAACGGCGTCGATCGATGTGAATGACGATTTTCTTCCGCTCGCGTCCTGATGTCTCGTGCGCGTCCACGGATATTTTTCATTCACTCTTTAGTTAGGGTTGCTCCGAGACGCGCGTCTTCCGCACACGCGCGCGCGTTAACCCGACGCGAGAGTCGAGCGGCCGCGCACGCCACGTCACGACGCCGACGCCATGGCGGTCTCGAACTTTCTCATGACCGCCGCCGCGATCGCGGCGGTCGCCACGCTCATGTCCAAAGACATTCGAAAGACGACGACGACGCTCCGGCAGAACGTGAAGCAGATCAGGGTGTGGGTGGAGGAGGCGGGGGCGGAGGCGTCGAAGATCGGCGAGGAAGCGGCGAAGAAGCTCCCGGAGGGGAAGAAGCCGCCGTTCAAGGACCCGTCCGCGTGAGAAGACGCGCGACCGGACCGGACCTCACCTCATCACGCGTACGTAGCGACGTAGAAACAGAGAAGGACGCGCGCCGCGTCGGCGAGCGCGGCGAGATCGATGACGAAGCCGGACGGCGACCCGCGAAGGGCGGGGACGGACCGCGGCGTCGACCGGATCTTCCACCGCGCCGCCGCACCAAACGCGAAGGCGCGCGGCGGACTCGGACGCGCGCGCCGACGCGCGCTCGACGCGACGCTCTTCTTCGTCCTCGTCGCGTGCGTCGCGCGCGTCGCCGTCTCGTACGCCTCCGCGAGCGACGAATCTCGCGCGCTGACGCATCTCTACTACCAAGCCCCGTGCGTCGTCCTCGCCGCGGCGATGGGATGGGGGTGCAACCTTCTCGTCTGGTCGCGGATGAAGATCGAGCCGCATCCGCTGTCGGTGTTCGAGCTGAGAGACGCGCGCGTTCACATGACGCATCGCGAGGTGTTTCGAGCGACGCTCGTCGCGGCGGCGGCGACGGCGGCGAATCTGAGGTGCGTTCTATACACTGGTCCCCATACGACCGCGTCGGCGTGGTGAACGCCGATCCTTAAGGACTTTTGCCGGCGCTTCTCTCCGCCCACCCCTTCCTTTCAATCCCCGCCCTCGGTGCCTTTCAACTCCACCTGACGCCTTTGAACTCCACCCCGACGTCGCTTTGTATGGAACGACCCTGAGTTTTTTTTTGACGCGGCGAGAGGAGGGCGACGTCGACGCCGCCGCTAACGCGCCCGCGCTGCTCTACGTCTCCGCGCTCGTCGTGCTGCTGATGCCGGCGCGGTGCGGCGCGCATCCGCACACGCGACGGTTCATATCCAGTACGTTAGCGCGATGCGTTTCGCCGACGCGAACCGTCACTTTCGGCGACTTTTTCGTCGCGGACGTCCTCTGCTCCATGGCGAAGAGCGTGTCCGACGTGGAGCGCGCGACGTGCGGTCTCCTGACCGGCGGCATCGTGACCGGTGACGTGGCGTCGAACGAGGGGACGTGCGGGGGATACGATTGGAAAGTCCCCGTCGCGCTCGCGCTGCCGTCAACGATTCGGTTCGCGCAGTGCTTCCGGCAGTACGCGGATTCGAAAAACGCGAGCGAAACCGGCGAGGGCGACGCGAACAAGCTCTGGAACGCGCTCAAGTACTTCAGCGCGTTCCCGGTGATCTTCCTCAGCGCGCTGAAGTATCACGTGTCGAGAGATGATTGGCTGGGGACGTATCGACCGGCGTGGATCGCGTTCGCCGTCGCGAACACCGCGTTTTCGTACTACTGGGACGTGACCCACGACTGGGACCTGTCGTTGTTCACGACCGTGGACGCGGGCCCCAAGGAGAGGCTCAGCGGCTTGCAACTCGCGGCGTCGAGAAGCCGCGGTCGCCGCGCGATCTTCCTGCGACGCGAGCTCTTGTACCGGAAACCGCGGCGGTACTACTTCGCCCTCGCGTCCAACGCGGCGTTGCGTTCGGTGTGGACGTACAAGCTCTCGTCGCACTTGCGGCACGACAGCGAGCTCGTGTTTTTGTTCACGATTGCGGAGATCGTGAGACGGTTTCAGTGGTCGCTGTTTAGGGTCGAGAATGAGTACCTCAAGTTGAGACGCGAGAACGCGCTTCCGAAGTGACGACGCGTGAGTAACATATCTCGCGAGGAAGCGGTACTCGACTCGCGGCGGGGCGGGGAGGAAAAAAAATACACTTATAGCACGAAGTAATATACTGTACACGACATAGTAGGAATCGAGAGACGTTATCATAGAGTCTGCGAACCGCGCGTTCAGTACGCGTCCATCTCGTCGAACGCCTCGCCGTCCGATCCCTCCTCCGCGGCGTCGTCGCCGGCCGTCTCCGCGGCGGCGGTCGCCGCGTTTTCGATCGCCCGCGCGAACCGCGCCCTCCACATCTGATGAGCGTCGTCGCCCACACGAAGCGACGTCGGGGTGGAGTTCAAAGGCGTCAGTTGGAGTTGAAAGGCGTCCGCGGGCGGGGATTGAAACCGAGGGACCCTGGGCGGCGGAGAGAATCGCCGGGAAAAGTCCTTAAGGATCGGCGTTCACCACGCCGACGCGGTCGTACGGGGACCAGTGCGGACGCGCCTCGCCCTCGTGCGCGTTTCTCGCCCTCAGCGCGTACGTCACGTCCCCTTTCACCGCGTGCGTCGCGTTCACGTACATCACGCGTCCGTGCGTCTCTATCGCGGTCGCCCTCGCGACGCCGACGCGCGTCGGGTCGCGCTCGCGGTCGCTCCACGTCAGCGTCGCGTCGCGGAGGTTCAGTCGAAAGTAGCTCTCGCGCCACGCCGACTTCGCGAGCGGGACGAACGCCGCCCACGCGGGGCGGTCGCCGCTCGCGCGCTTCTTCGCGAGGCGGCCGCCGTGCGTCGTCGCGCGGTCCGCGCCGAGGATGGCGACGCGCGCGCGCGCGAGCGCCTCGGAGGCGTCGCGCGAGGCGGCGGATCGCGAAGACGACGACGACGACGACGTCGACGACGACGAGACCGTTTCGAGGATCGCGCGCGCGCGCGCCTGAGACGCGCCGAACGCGTCGACGACGCGCCGCGCGTAGCGGCTCCTCCCCGGCGTCGCGGACCGCGCGGCGTCGGCGTCGTCGCCGCGCGTCGCGTCGTCGTCCTGCCGCGGGCGCGACGTCGATCTCACGAGCGACAGCCGCAGCGAGTCCGGGGTCTGCGGCGGCGACGCCGCGGGGGGCGTCGGAGGCGCCGAGGAGGGAGCCGAAGCGTCGTCGCGCGCGCAGCGCGGGATGTCCCGCGACGGCGTCGACGCCGGGGACGACTCGAACGAGACGCGCCGCCGGCCCGACGCGGCGTTCTTCTTCATGTACGTGCGCGTCGCGACGGGCGACGGCGCGCGCGGCGGCGGCGGCGGCGGCGGCGGCGGCGACGGCGGCGGCGACATCGCGCGCGACAGTCCGAATGCGGATATTCCAACCGACGCGAGCGAGGCGACGACAGCCTGGCGAGCGCGCCTCGTCATCCTGCGGACGCACGCGTCCGCGCGCCTCCTAGCGCGTTCGTCGCCATTCCGCCCCGCCGCCCGCCTCGGCCCGGGCACAGCTCGCGCGCGGTCGCATCGCACGCGCCTCGCACCCGCACCATGCTCGCGATGCGCGCGGGCGCGGCGACGACGCCGACGCCGCGGCGCGGCGCGTCGTCCCCGTCGCGATCCGCCCCCGCGTCGGCGTCAACCCTCATCGCGAAGAAGAGGAACGAGATCCAACATCGCGTCCTCCGCCCCCGTCGTCCTCGCGTCGTCGTCCTCGCGGCGGCGTCCGCGGCGTCGCCGAACCCGGGGCCCGGGCGCGCGAACCGCACGCGCGTGAACGTCGCGACGACGACGCCGACGCCGCAGGCGAGCCCGATGTCGCTGTCGTCGCCGCCCATGTCCAGCGTCGACGGATTCATGGACGTCTCGATGCCGACGGTGCTGAACGCGAACCTAGGAAGCGTGATGGCCCCGCCCGCGTGCGACCTCGACCCGAAGAAAACGCACATCGTGTGTACGTTAGGGCCGTCGTCCAGGACCGTGGACGACCTCGAGGACTTGCTGCGCGCGGGGATGTCCGTCGCGCGGTTCAACTTCTCGCACGGGACGCACGAGTACCACCTCGAATCGCTGCAGAATCTGCGCGAGGCGTGCAAAAACACCGGGAAAATTTGCGCGGTGCTCCTCGACACGAAGGGCCCGGAGATTCGAACCGGGACGCTCGAGAACGGCGAGCCGGTGAAGCTCAAGCGCGGGGGCGATGTCACGCTCACGACGGATTACGCCGTCCCCGGAAACGCATCCTTACTGGCGGTTTCGTACGAACACATGGCGCGAGACGTGAAGACCGGGACGCGAATCCTGATGGCGGACGGCAGCGTCATGCTCGAGGTTTTATCCACCGACGTCGCCGCCGGAACGGTCGCGTGCAAGTGCTTGAACGACGCGACGATCGGGGAGAGGAAGAATTGTAACTTACCGGGGGTGAAGGTTGATTTACCCACGCTCACGGAGAAAGATTTGCACGACATCGTGGGCTTCGGCGTCGTCCACGACGTCGATTTCATCGCCGCGAGTTTCGTTCGAAAAGGCTCCGACGTGAAAAAAATACGCGAAGTTTTGGACTCGGCGGGGGGGAAGACGATACACATCATCTCCAAAGTCGAGAACCACGAGGGCCTGTGCAACTACGACGACATCGTGCGCGAGAGCGACGGGATCATGGTCGCGCGCGGCGACCTCGGGATGGAGATCCCCCTCGAGCGCATCTTCTGGGTCCAAAAGATGATGATCAGAAAGGCGAACCTCGCGGGAAAGCCCGTCATCACCGCGACGCAGATGCTCGATTCCATGATCGCCGCGCCGAGGCCGACGCGAGCGGAGGCCACGGACGTCGCGAACGCGGTTCTCGACGGCACGGACTGCGTCATGCTCAGCGGCGAGACCGCCGCGGGGGCGTACCCGCGAGAGTCCGTCGAGATCATGGCGGGCATCTGCGAGGAAGCCGAGCGATGCGTCGACAACTGGACGCTCTCGCAGTCTCTCCTCAACACCACGATGGCGGGGACGATCTCGCCGCTGACCACGATCGAGTCGCTCGCGTCGTCCACGGTCATGACCGCGGCGAAGGTGAGAGCCTCCTGCATCGTCGTCCTCGCCGCCAACGGCGACGCGGCGAGAATGATCGCGAAGTATCGCCCGGCGGTGCCCGTCGTCGTCGGCGTCGTCCCGCGGAGCGCGAGGAAATCCATCGGATTTCAAGAGAAGGAGCTCAGAGGGCAGCAAGTCGCGAGGCAGCTGATGCTCACGCGCGGTCTGATACCCACGGTCGTGCAGCCGCCGAGCGAGGTTGACGTGGACGACGAGAGCCGCGCGCCGATCGCGGCGAAGAAGTGCGTCATGCAAGCAGTCGACCACGCGAGAAAGTTGCTGCTCGTCAGGCCGGGGGATAAGGTGGTCGCGATGTACAACGTGGAGAAGCGATGCGCGGTCGTGCGAGTGATCGAGATTCCGCCGGAGTGCGACCCGGACTGCGTGGACGAGGCGTGCGACGTGGAGTGCCAGCTGGATGAGAATTTCCTCACCCCGGGCTCCGGCGATCAGGACTGACGGCGGAGGAGGCGCGTGTATATCATACTACACGTACGTCACGCCGCGCCGCGCCGCGCCGCCGTTTGATAAAACGTTGTTGTTTCAATTCAAAAGATTCGTTGTACTGTACGCGTACCGCACGTCACGCGTCGTCGTCGTCGTCTTCGTCGTCGCGTCGCTCTTTCGCTCTTTCGCTCGGTCGCTCGATCGCTCGTTCACTCGCGCTTCACCTTCGGCGTCGCCTCTCGCGCGAGCCAGTCCATCGCGTAGTCGAGCCCGTCGAGGCGCGCGCAGGACACGGACGCGCACTCCACGTCGACGACTGACAGAGGGTGGGTCGTCACGAGGCGGAATCGAAAGGCGTCGGTCGGAGTCGAAAGGCGTCGAGGGCGGGGATTGAAAGCAGCGCGGGGTGGGCGGGCGGAGAGAATCGCGCGCGCCTCTTCCGTCGTCTCGAACGTCGTCGAGCCGCAACGCGTCGGCGCACTCGCCCGCCGTCATCGCGTTCTTCCTGTCGCTCTTGTTCCCGAGCACGAGCAGAGGGACGTTGTGCAGCGTGGACCTGCGCATGAGGTCGTGTAACGCCTCGCGAGCGTCGGTTATGTGCGACACGTCGCGGTCGGACGCGTCGAAGACGAAGACGACGGCGCGGCAGTTTCGACAGTACCTCTCCCACCTCGTTTGAAACGCCCCCCCGCGCGCGACGTCCCACACCTTGAGCGCGAACCCTTCCTTCGTGATCGTCGTCATGTCGTACGTGTGCGCGCGCGAAGGGAGCGTCGCGGGGTCGAACGATCCTGTCGCGAGGACGTGCGCGAACGACGTCTTCCCCGCGCCCGGAAGGCCGGTCACCGCGAGCTCGACGCGCGGTCTCTTGGGGCGAACGAAGACGGTCCTGCGTGGAGTTCAAAGGCGTCAGTTGGAGTTGAAAGGCGTCGAGGGCGGGGATTGAAACCGAGGCGTGGGCGGAGAGAGACGACGGGCAAAGTCCTTAAGGAACGGCGTTCACCACGGCGACGGGGTCGTATGGGGACCAGTGTAGACACTACGGCGCGCGCGAGGGGGGGCGGAGCGGGAGGGGGGACGGGGCATCGTCGGACCGCGGGCGACGGCGTCGTTCGAGCGGAGCGAGCGACGCGCCTTCGGATCCACTCGATGAGGCGTTCCCAGGGTCCCATGGCGCGCGTTGGCGATGCGGGGAGCGGCGGCGGCGTCGTCGTCTTTGAAACGAGAAGCGAAAAGCTTCGGAGCGCCCCAGAAATCGTTCAGTTGGCGCGCGGGCAGCAGCGAGCGTCGCAGCGCGCTCGTTTGAAAGAGCTCGCGAGGCGCGCACACCTCGCGGCGCACCGAGGACGGAGCACGCGCGACCGTCGCGGCACACGCAGCGGACGCGCGAGGAGAACGCGCGACGTCGATTTCATGGCAGCGAAGCCGTACACGTTGTGCGCGCGCGCGCCCTCTCCGCGTCGTCGTCGTCGTCGTCGTCTTCAAAACGATAGATCGCTCGAACGCGCGATCGATCGTCCGACTCACGACGCGATCCCTCCCTCCCTCCCCCTCCCTCCCCCCGCAGCACGACGACCGTGCCCTACCTCACCGCGGCGGACGCGAACGCGGTGTGCACGACGTTATCCGTGGACAACGAGCTGCAGCCGGACAAGGTCGAGAAGACGCTCAGGGTCGACGGCGCCAGCCTCGTCGCGTGCGTGCGGTTTCCACGGTTCTCCCCACGCTTCCTTCGCGCTAACATCCGCGTCGCGCGCGGACGGACGGGCGGATCTGCGCGCCCTTCCCCTCTTCGATCGCGCGAATCTGATCTGACGACGACGTCCTCGCGCCCCCGTCACTCTCGATCGTCTCCAGAGACTTCGCGGCGACCGAGCCGAGGCTCCTGCGCGCCGCGGTCGCCGCGTTCTTGGACCTCCTCAACCTCGCGTCGCGCGCGCTCGAAAAGTTCGGCCCCGTGCCCACCGAACTTCCGCCAGTCGAGGGAGAGACCGCGTGAGCGGCCGGCCGCGCGAACTTCGCGCCGCGCCGAAACCCTAGACACGACTCGACCCTAGACGCAGAAGAGAGGCACCGCCGCGCCCGCCGCCCGCGCGCGTCGAGCCAGGATGGACCGGTACCACATCTACGAAGCCATCGGCCGCGGGAAGCACTCCGTCGTGTACAAGGGCCGAAGGAAGAAAACCGTGCAATACTACGCGATAAAGTCCGTGGAGAAGTCGCAGCGCCCGCGCGTGTTACAAGAAGTCCAAGTGCTGCGCGCGGTGTCGCACGAGCTCGTGCTCAAGTTTCACGCGTGGTACGAGACGCAGAACCACCTGTGGCTGATACTGGAGTACTGCGTCGGCGGCGACTTGCTCTCTCTGCTGCGGCAGGACCTCTCGCTGCCGCAGGCGTCCATAGGCGCGTTCGGCGCGGACCTAGTCGTGTCGCTTCGCACGCTGCATCGCCACGGTCACGTGCACTGCGACTTGAAGCCGTCGAACGTGTTGATCGACGAGGACGGCCGGTTGAAGCTGTGCGGTTTCGGGTTGGCGCGCCGCGTCGCGGACGTGCAGAGCTCGCGAGGGACGCCGTCGCAGGCGCGTGTTTCGCCGCGTGAACGATCGAACCGCGTTTGTTTTTCACCCATCCCCCCTCGGTTTCGCTATCGCATTCGATCTCGGCGATCCCTCCTTTCGACTGACTGACGCGCTGAACATCTTTCGTGTACGGAACGCAGCTCGCGCGCCGCGGCACGCCGTGTTACATGGCTCCGGAGCTCTTCTCGGAGACGCACGGGCTGCACTCGTACGCGAGCGATCTGTACGCGCTCGGGTGCGTCCTGTACGAGTGCGCGTGCGGGCAGCCGCCGTTCGTGTCGTCGTCGCTCAGCGCGCTGATCGGGATGATCTTGGAGAAGGAGCCGCCGCGGTTCGACCCGAAGATCGAGGCGAAGCTCTCCCCCGCGTTTGTCGATCTCGTGTTCGGTCTGCTTCGTAAAAACCCGAGCTCGCGGTTGCGTTGGGACGACGTCCTGAATCACGCGTTCTGGCGCGAGTGCGGGCGAGGGAGCGCGCCGCAGAGCGTGGACGTCGCGAGCGCGATCGAGCGCGTCGCGCGCGCGGATCCGCCGCCGCCGCAGCCCGCGTTCGAGGCGGTGGAACGGTCGGTCGCGCTCGCGGACCGCCTCGACGCCGCGGCGACGGTGTCGTCGCCGCGGTCGTCGAGGGGTGGCGTCGGGTCGCCGTCGCCGTCGCCCGGCGCGGCGACGGCGTCGGCGTCGCGAAGCAAAGCGCGCCGAGACGACGTCGCGCGGCTGTCCGTCGCCGCGCGCATCAACCTCGAGCGCGAGGAGGGCGGCGCGTACGCGGACCGCGACGACAAGAGCGACAAGGGCGGCGCCGGCGGGGGCGACGACGACGACGTCGCGCGCCGCCCGAAAGCCGCCGCGCGCGCCGCCGCCGCGGGCGGCGACGTCGAGCTCGCCAACCCGGACGCGGAGCTCAACTTTGGCGGCGCGGACGCGGACGCGGGCGACGCGTCGCGGCCGGACAGCGGCAGGCCGAAGCCGCGGCCGCTGTCCGGGCGCGAGGGCGACGGCGACAGCACCGTCGCTACGATGACGCGCACGGGGAGCAACCTGGACGGACGCGAGCGGAGGGGACGGGAGGAGGAAGAGGAGGATGAGGAGAACGAGATGGTGGCGGATCCAGGGACGGAGTCCGCCGCCGCCGCGGTCGCCGCCGAGCGATCAGCCGCCGCCGCGGAGGAGGAGGAAACGCGTCGCCGCCGCGCCGAGCAGTTTTCCACCTCCTCCGCGTCGACGGCGAAGACGCCGGGGAAGAGTTACCTCACGCCCAGGAGCAGGGACGCGCGGCCGGCGGTGGGCGCGACGCCGGGGTACGGCGGGCAAACGGGGGGCTCGGGGCTGCTGGACCGCGGGGAACCCAACGCGCCGCTCCCCGCGACGACGCCGATGAACCTCCCGCGTCGATCGAGGACGGACGACGACGACGACGACGAGAACTCGCCGTCGAGGGAGAACGAGAGAGCGGACAGAGGGCTGGACCTTCGAACGCCGTCGAAGGGTGGCGCCGGCGGTTCCGGAACCCTAAACCCTAAACCGCCGGCGGCGCCTCCCGCGACGGACGCCGGGGCGGCGCTCGAGTCGATCGCGTCGCTGATGCATCACGCCACGGACAGCGCGATCAAGCCGATCGTGTTGAACCGCAGGATCGAGGTTCTGCCCGAGCCGATGTACGACCCCGCGGGGCTGCCGTTCCCCGCGCTGACCGTCGCGCAGATGCTGTCGTCGTCGCAGACGGACCTCGAGGCGTTTCTCACGCACATTTACCGCAGCGTCGCGCACTCGTCGCCCATCAACGAAAAAGTCAACACGCTGTCGTACTTCGAGACGCTCTGCGTGGACACCGCGGCCGCGAACGTGCTCATCAACTCGTCGCTGATGACGCTGTTCGTGCGGATGCTTCGCGCGAGCAAGGCGCCGATGCTGCGCATTCGCCTGACGTCGTGCATGGGGTTGCTGCTGAGACACGCGACGTACATCACGGAGGAGCTCTCCGGCTGCGGCGTGGTGACGGTCCTGACCGAGTGCTTGAAGGATAAGAACGAGCGCGTCAGGCGACGCGCGATGGCGACGTTAGGGGAGCTCCTGTTTTACATCGCGACGCAGCAGCACGAGGCGAGCGAGGCGGCGAAACGCGGAGGTCGCGGCGCCTCAAACGGTAAGGCTGGCGCCGCGGAGCCAACCGGCGCGAGTCCCTCCGCCTCCGCGTGGGCGGTGCCCGCGTCCACGGTGGGCACGGTCGCGCGGCTCCTTCGCGCGGGCGAGGACGAGATCGCGCAGCACTACGCGGTGAAGACGATCGAGAACATCACGTCGCACGGCGGCGAGTGGGCGGCGAAGTTTGCGAGCGCGGAGACGACGGCGTCGCTCGTCGCCATCATGTCCTCCGCGAAATCCGAGCAGCTACGCGGCACCGCGGCGAGCTGCCTCGCGCGCGCCGCGCGCCACACCCCCTCGACGCTCCAGACCGTCCTAGATCGCCACGGCGTCAAGCTCCTCGTGACTGGGCTGAGAGACCCGTCGCCGAAGGTGCAGCAGGCGGCGCTGTGCCTCTTGTGCCAGGGGTTGGGCGATTTAGGCGCGTTCTACGCTCTGTACACTGGTTCCCGCGCGACCGCGTTCGCGCGGTGAACGCCGATCCTTGAGGATTTTTCTTCCCGCGCGCGTGTCTCTCCGCCCAGGGTCCCTCGCTTTCAATCCCGACGCGCCTCGACGCCTATCAACTCCACCCCTGACGCCTTTCAACTCCACCCCGAAAATATCGCTTCGTGCGGACCCTCCACCCTCAGGCGCGCGCGCGAGGGCGGCGCTCGCGGCGGAGGACAAGACGGCGTTGCTGCCGACGTTGGTCGGTCTTCTCGAGCGCGGCTCCGCGGTCTTGCGCGGCAAGGCGCTGCTCACTCTCGCGCTCCTCTTCCGCCTACACCCGCGGTGGCTGCTCGCGGCGTGCCAGACGAAGCTTCTGCCGCTGATCGACCGGCTGCAGAAGGACAAGGAGCCGTACCTGGAGCGGTGCCTCGAGGCGTGCGTCGGCGTCGTCGTCGCGCTCGCGCCCAAGGTGAACGAGGCGGTGCTGAGCGAGATCGATCGGCTGACCGGGTCGACCGCGTCGGCGGTGGGTCGTCCGGGGAGTGCCGGCGGGTGGGGCTGGGGCGGCGACGGCGGCGGCGGGACGCGTCCCGGGTCGCGCGGCGGCGGCGGCGGCGGCGCGCCGGGTCGAATCTCCACGCCGCCCGGCGGCGAGCGGAATAAACCCGGCCCCGCGCTGTCGCTCTTCCCAATCCTCGTCCACCTCCTCGGCAGTGCGGTGATGCGCCCGCGGATATGCGACGCGAGGATGCTCGCGGACGTCGCGTCGTTCCTCGCCGCGGCGGACGGCGGCGCGTCGTTTCCCGGCCGCGTCGAATTCCGCGGCGGCGCGTTGACGCTGCTCGAGACGCTGTCGCAGTGCGCGCCGTCGGTGCTCGCGGTCCCGGACGCGGCGATCGAGCACTTGCTTCCCGCGCTCGCGGACATGCTCGGGAAGCCGGACAGCAGCGCGGACGGGCGGTTCTTAGCGCTGAAGCTGACGTGCGACACGCTGTTGCCGTTGGCGCTCGATCCGGAGAAGACGGACGGCGGCGGCGGCGGCGGCGGCGGGAGTTCGTCGAATACCTCGACGCGCCGCGCGCTTCTGTCGTCGCTGCTCCGCGAGAAGCTCCTCCCGCTGTGCCCGACGCTGCTCGCGGACGAGGATCCGATCCCGCTGTACGCGCTGAAGCTTCTCGGCGGCGCGCTCGAGGCGGACCGCGGCATGTGCGAAGCCGTCGTCGAGCTCGGCCTCGCGCCGAAATTTTTCGAGTTTCTCTCGCTCGAGCACACCAACAACAACGTGCACAACGTCCGTCTGTGCCTCGTCCTCGCCGCGTCTCGCGCGGTCCCGACGCGCGCGCTGTGCGAGTTCGACGCCGGCGCGAAGGTGGCCGCGGTGCTGTCGTACGCGCACGAGAACGCGGTCGAGCCGTTCATGGAGCCCGCGCTCGGCATCGCGCGGGCGATGCTCGCGCGCGCCGCCGACGCGTCGCGCTCCGGCGACGAAACGCTCATCACGCTGACGTTAAAATCCACGGCGCCGTTGCTCGAGCTCGCGCCGGTCTTCGTCGAGTGCGCGAGCGCGGGGGAGACTGAGGTGGCGTCGTTCGCGGTCCCGCAGCTCGCCGCCGCCGCGCTCGCGTTGATGGTGGAGTCGCGGCCACGCGAGGCGTCGGCGGTGCGTTCGATACACTGGTCCCCATACGACCCCGTCGCCGTGGTGAACGCCGATCCTTAAGGACTTTTCACGGCGTGTCTCTCCGCCCACCCCTCGCTTTCAATCCCCGTCCTCGGCGCCTTTCAACGCCAACTGACGCCTTTGAACTCCACCCCGACATTCGCTAGGCGACGTTTCATCCGCGGTCGCCGCTCGTCGCCGCGGTGGAGGCGATGGGGACGCGCGCGGCGACGGAGCGCGGCGAGCGCGGCTTCGCGGAGGTGTCCGTGCCGTGCGACGACATGGCGCCGTCTGTGGGCGCGGCGGACGTCGCGTTCGCGCACGGGATGGGGTCGCCGAGGGCGGGCTTCGCGAGGGCGCAGCGGACGGCGTTGGGGGCCATCGCGGCGGCGGCGCGCGGGCACGTCGGGCCGCCGCCCGAAGGCGGGGAGGCGCCCGCGTTGGCGTCGACGCTGAGGAAGCTCGCGCGGGGGGAGCCGTGCGCGGGGATCGCGGCGGCGGCGGCGGCGGCGGCGGATTCGGTCGCCGCGCTCGTCGCGAGAGGGGCGGCGCGGTGAGAGGAGAGTGGAAGTAAAATTCGTTTTTATCCGAGTTGAGATGCGATATCTTAGAGTTTCTAAAGTAAGTACGTCTAGGATCGGTCGATCAACTGCTCGACTAACAACGCGGCGCTGCCACTCCGCCGCCGCCCCCCCCCCCCTCGCGCCGATGCCGGACGCGTCGGACGCGTCGGCGGACGCGTCCGCCGCGTATCCGCGTCCGTGCGCGCGGCCCGGGCTTCCCGGGGACGACGCGCGCGAGATCGAGTCTCGACGCGCGGTCAGAGCGAAGGCTCGAGGGGAATCGCTCGCGGCGTCGGACGTGCCGGTCCTCCGCCGCGACGACGCCGACGCCGACGCCGACGGCGATGGCGGCGGCGCGTTCGTCGTCGTGCGCAAGCCCGCGGGAGTGTACGTCGACGACGTCCTCGCCGCGCTCGAGCGCGACGCGAGCGCGAGCGCGAGCGCGTCGCCGTCGCCGTCGCCGCGTCGTCTCCACCTCGCGCACAGGCTCGACAGGGACACGAGCGGATGTCTCGTCGTCGCGACGTCGACGCGCGCGTGCGCGGCGCTCACGCGCGCGTTCGCGGACGGGAAAGTCCGGAAGGAGTACCTCGCGCACTGCAGCAGCGCCGCGGCGTCGTCGTCGTCCGAGCCGCGCGAGCCGGATCCGAGCCCGTCGCCGTCGCTCGACGGCGCGCGCCCGCTGACGCTGCGGACGGGGCACGGCCGCTCGAGAAACGGGCTGTGGCGCGTCTACCCGCTCTCCGACGTCGGACGCGCGCTCCCGCGCGACCCGGGTCGCAAGACGACGCTCGTGAAGATCGCGGAGACGTCGCTCGTCGTCGTCGCGACGGCGGCGGCGCGCGGCGGCGGCGGTGGCGGCGAGAGGTCGAGGTGCGCGTACGTGCGCGCGACGCCGACGACGGGGCGGACGCATCAGGTGCGTTCTATACAAAAGTTTTTCACCCATTGTCCGGTTTCAACATTTGATCGCGTGGGTCCCTTTCAACTGACCGGTGAACCTTTTTTGTATGGAATGGCCCTCAGATTCGGTTGCACTGCGCGCACGCGGGCGCCGCGATCGTGGGGGACGTCAAGTACGGCGGTCCGCGCGTCGTCGAAGAAGAAGAAGAAGAAGAAGAGAAAGAGAAAGAAACGCAAGAAGATGATGCGTTGATAGATACTCGTTTCGACGGGTTTCGATTGCACGCGGCGAAGATCGCGTTCCCGCATCCGACGAGGGAGGGACAGACGGTGGAGGTGGAGTGTCCGCCGCCGGGTTGGTGGCGGGAGGCTGGAGAGAGCGTGAGAATACAGTAGCCTTTATAGTCTCTAGAACGAGCGTAGGATCACCGCGGCCCGCCGCCGCCCTCCTTCGCGCGCCTCGCCGCGTCGTCCGCGGCCTGCTTCGCTCTCCGGCCCGCGTCCGCCTGCGCTCGCGTCGCGGCGTCCGTCGCCTCCTTTTGTCGCCGCTTCGCGTCTCCAATCGCGGCGTCTTGCGCGCGCATCGCCTTCTCCGTCGCGATTTTTTGCTTCGCGACGATCTCGTCGTAGTTGAGCGCGATGTAGGTGATGAAGCCCGCGACGACGAGGACTGCGCGCGCGGAGGGGGGGCGGAGGGACGCGTCGTCGGTCGGCGCGCGAGCGGAACAGAATGTCTTCGCAGAAAACGACGCGTTTCGTCGACGGTAACGGAAAGAATCTCTCGCCGCGCGCGCGAGGGAGGGTCCGACCGCGGGGTCGCGCGCGCACCTACGAACCCCTCCTCCGCGCCGAAGCGCGCCTTCACGAGGCTCCCGCGCCGGGGACGCGTCTGGAGACGCCGCGGACGCGGCGTCGCGCCGGCGCGGAGACGCGCGGAGGACGCGACGAGATCTCGCGACGACGACGACGACGACGACGAGGCGGCGGCACCCCGCGGCCCAGCGGACGTCGCGGACGGCGTCGCGGCGGCGACGCGTGCGGCCGCGCGCGGGAGCGCGCGCGCGCGGAGCGCGACGCGCGTCGCCGCGGGCGGCGCGAGAGGGCGCGCGAGGGCGGTCGGCATATATGCGGCGCGCGCGCGGGTGCCGAGGGCGCGAGTGCCGAGGACGTTAAAGACGCGCACGCGTTCGCGTTCTCGTCCTGACAGGACGACGACCGGATAAATATGTGTCACGGTGGAGTCACCCCCCGCGCGCTATGCTATTTCAAAGCCGACTACTAGCTAGCTAGGCGTCCTCTTCGCCGCCATCTCTACCGCCGCCCACCCCCAACAGAGGCTCCGCGAGCCCCTCGCCGTCGTCCGCCTTCGCGACAACAGTCCCGGTCCCGCCGCGCTCGCGCCTTCGCTCGCGCGCCTTCGCCGCCGTCGCGCACGCGAGCGCCGCGAGCGCCGCGACCCCCGCCGCGGCGCAACTCGCCGGGACGACGCCGACTTTCCCGGTGCGCGCGTACAACGCCGCGCCGACGTACGGCCCGACGCCCGCGCCGGTCGCCGCGCCGAGCTCGAACAGCGACTGCGAGAAGCCGGTGAGGGGGAAGAACGTCCGCGCGTGCGCGATGCCGTTGGGAAACATCCCCGCGCAGCCGACGCCGACGAGCGCCGTGGTCGCCCACAACACGACGCCGCCGCCGCGCTTAGGGTTGTTATCATTAGGGTTTAGGGTGCTCCAGGGCGCGGCGTGTGACCACCACGTCGCGAGCCATCCGAGCGCGGCGAGCGCGACGAGATGCGACGCGAGGATCACGCGCAGCGGCGACGCGTTTAGCAACGACAGCGCGAATCGCGTCAGCGTGAACCACGCCCACAGCGACGACGTCAACGCCGCGGCGGCGCCGTCCCCGAGACCGTCCTCGTCTTGCGACAGCGTGTATATCCAGCTCCCGTACGTGACCTCGAGGGAGACCGCGAAGGACATGTAGAGGACCATGGGGAGGAGCACCGACGTGGCGGCGACGCGCCGCGGCGGCGGCGGCGGCGGCGGCGGCGCTTCGACCGCCGCGACGGCCTCGTCGCTCAGGAGCAGCCGCCGCCGCACGGGGCTTCGCATCCGCGTCGGCGACGCGAGCTCCTCGTCGCCGTCGCCGTCTTCCTCATCATATTTTTCTATCTCCTCCTCCTCCTCCTCTAGATCCTCCTCGTCCTCGTCGTCGTCGTCGTCGATCTCTTTCGGCGCCTTCGTCGACGCGACGGCCGCCGCGAGCGCGAGGTATACGATTCCCGCGACCAGAAACGTCAGCTCAAACCCGCGGCTCGGATACAGCTCCGAGAGCCCCGCGTACAGGAGCGGCGCGAGGATCGACGCGAGCCCGAACGCGCCCATCGTGAAGTTCAGCGCGGGCGCGCATTTCGCCGCGCCGAAGCGTCTGGTGAGGCACATGCGGATGGACACGCCGATCATCGGGAGCGTCGCGCCCTGGACCACGGACAGGACGTTCACCTGCCACAGCGCGTCACACCACGGCATGACGCCGACGGAGAGCGCGCGCGTCACCACCCCGGTGATGAAGACGGCGTGCGCGTCGACGCGGTCGAGGAAGTACCCGGTCGGGAGCGCGAAGACGCCGCCGGAGACGCCGCCCAGGCCGAGGTACGTCCCGAGCGCCGCGGGCTCGCGTCCGACGCGTCGCGCGAGCTCGGGGATGATCGGTCCGCGCAGGCTGATGAAGAGGCCGTTGCTGAAAGAACCGAACGCGTAAAGGTACAGGTACTTGCTGCGGAAGAGCGACCACACGCCGCCGCCGCCGCCGCCGCGGCGCGCGTCTCGCGCCGACGCCATCGCGCGCGCCGAGGATAATGCGACACAGATCTTCCATTAATAAGCTTAAGTTCTCGAGCAGATGAGCGCTAACGCGCTGGAAAGCGATGATCTCCGACAAAGGCGCGGCGCGAGAAGACGAGACGGCGAAGCGATCGCGCGGCGCGCGCGCATTTTTCGCACAATTTATATGATGTGGTATAAAAAGAACAACTAGCCACGTATGAACAGGTGTGTCGTGGCGCGCCGCGCGTCGGGCGACGCGCGGGCCGCGTCGTTCGCTCCTCTTCTCATCGAATCGAATCGTATCTCCTCCGACGATTCGATCAAATCAGATCGTCGCTCACCCGCGCCTCATCCCGCGCGCACCGCCGCGCCCGCCGTACCCAGCACCGCCCGTCATGCCGCCCGGGTTGTTGATATCGCGCGACGGCGCGCCGAACATGTCCGGGTCCGCGGCTTTCTTCTTCGCGCGAATGACGCGCTCGCGCTCGACCCCGGGCTTAGCCTGCGGCTTGGCGCGTTGCGACCGCAAGTCCGTGTTGGCGACGCCGCGCGCGGTGTCCAGAGAGCTCACGCCCTTCTTCTTGTCCGCGCCGCCGATGCCGGGCATCAGCGATCGACCGTGCTGGTAGTTGGTACGGTGACGCTCGAGGTGGAAGTCGATGGCGCCGCGGAGCTCCAGACCCTTCTCGCGTCCGATGTAGAGCTTCTCCACGAGGTGGTCCATCTTCTCCTTGGTGTTGTCGAGCTCGCGCTTGCGCTCCATGACCTCGTCCTTCGCGACGGACACCGCGTGCGCGGCCGCGTCCGCCTGAACCTTCCAACGCATCATCTCGTTGCCCATCGCGTTCGTGCGCGTCTCGAGCTCCTCCTTGAGACGATCGATCTCCGTCGCGAGGCGCGCCACCTTGGCGTTGTGCTCAGCCTCGAGCTTCAGCCGCGCCACCGTCTCCTCCTGGCGAATCGCCTCCTCCGCCTTCGCGAGCGCTTCCGCGGCGCGGTTCGCGTCCGAGCGCGCTTCCTCGATCTCCGTCATGACCTTGTTCTTCTCGGACTCGAGCGCGCCCTGCTCCGCGCTGAGCGCCGCCTTGAGCGCCTTGTTTCGCTCCGCCTCGTGCCCGACGTTGTTGAGCTCGGCGCTGATCGCCTCCTTCGCGGCTCGCTCCGCGGCGATCTTGGACTCCGCCTCCGCGACCATCTCCTCCGCCTTACGGCGCGCCACCTGCTCCGCCTTGAAGTGCTTCTCGATGCGAAGGAGCATGTCCTCGAGCTCCGCGTTGGTCTTGGATTCCACCTCGAGCTGCTGCGCTTGCGCCTCAACCTGCATCTGGAGCTGCGCGAGGCGAGACGCGGCGTCCTCCTCGGACGCGGCGCCAGCCATGGCGTCGTAGGGGTCGCCGCCGCCCATGCCGGGGGAGCCCGGCGCGGCGTCGTCCATCATGCCGACGTCCTCGGGGGCCGCGCCGGGGGAGCCGGCGGACTTCATGGAGCCGGAGCCGGGAGACTTCACGGAGGGCGATTTCGGGGACTTCACCGTGGGTGATTTGGGCGTCTTCGCCTCCGTCACCGGGCCGGGCGCGGTCGTGATCGTCGTCGGCTGCGCGAGGGGACGCGAGGGGGGAGGGGGCGGGGCGGAGATCGTCAGGTTGGTTGTTTCGCGCCGGACGGGGCGTCGCCGCGCGGATCGCGCGCGCGCGCGGCGGGGGGCGCGAGATCGCGCGCGGGGGGAGAATTGGGGGCTGGATTGCCGATGCGCGCGCGGACGACGATTCTAATTGCGTCGATCGCGACGCTATCGCGCCTCGCGCGGGGATCAGGATGGCGCGAAACGCGCGCGGACGATGGCATCGCGCGAGAGGATGGCGATGCGCACCTCTTCCATGAAGGAGATCTGCTCGGAAGCCATTTCGTTCGAGCGGCGGCGTCGATTAACGCGCGACGATAAAGTTCCTAAATTAGGAGCACCGCCGAATCAAAAAATGAATCGGGGAACGCGAGAAGCGAGAGGCTCGACGCGACGTTCTTTCGACGCTTCGGCGTGCGACCGAGGCGCGTGTCGTTCACGTGAACGGGAAAAGCTCGTGCGGGTGAGTCGCGATCGGGGGACCGTGACACGACGCGAGCGCGCGGTGGAATGTGCCGCCGTGTGCGACTCGCGATTCAGGTCACCAAGCAAGAAACCTCGAGATCGCGCGGGCCGCGGTTGACTCGCCCGGCAAAAGGATATTTATCCTCTGTCCAAATCTTCGTACTACTCGTCTAACCGATTGCTCATACGACTACGTACGAGTACGAGATAACCTGAGATAGCCCTACGCGCATTTGCTCTCGCGCGCGCGATTACTACACACGGTACGCACATCTCTCACGACGAGAGGCGAATCTCGCGACCGCGCCGTCGACTTCGCCGCGCGCGGGGCTGGGGCGATGTCGTCGTACGACAAAGTCCGCGGCGGGAAGTTCAGCTTCAAAGGCGGCGGCGACCTCTCCCTCGGCGGCGTCGGGAAGAAGAAAAAGAAGAAGAAGAAGTCCAAGGACGCGGACGCGCTCGCGCTCGAGGCCGCGAACGCGGACGGCGGGGCGGGGGAGACGATGCAGGTCGGGCAGGGCATCGGCGGCGACCCGGGCGGGGACGCGAAAGGGAAGTACGAGGAGCTCTTCCCGTACGAGGCGAAGCGGCAGGCGAACCCGACGGGACGGAAGAACTGCTGGGGGACGAACTACCGCGAGGCGCCGGAGATCTTGCACGGGTACGACAAGGCGTGGCGAGGACGAGAGAAGCAGATGTCCGTCGAGGAGCGGTTAGATCTGCGGTGCGGGCACAAGGCGGATAAGTTCTGCAAGTGATCGATCGAGCGGCGACGCGCGAGTCGTCGGTTTTGATCATGGCCGTCTCATCCGCGGCCGAGCGATAGAAGATACTACGTAGCGGTGTTCGAAGCGGCGGCGGCGGCGGGACGCGTCGCGTTCGTTCTCATTCTCATTAGCGGGGCGTTCCGCGTGAATGCCATCAATTCTTTTGTTTTACAAACGAGTCGCGCGCGACGATCGCGTACCCTGAACGCCGGCGTCGATCGCGCCGCGTCTTCGCTCACGCGTTCTTGGACGTGTTCCCCGGGGAGATGTTCCCCTGTCGGATCACCGTCGCGACGGGGACGTCCATCGCGCCGTGCGCTCCGCCGACGGGCCCGTACCCGCTCCCGCCCGCGCTGAGGGTCGTTCCATACGAGCGAACGTCGGGGTGGAGTTCAAAGGCGTCAGGTGGAGTTGAAAGGCGTCGAGGACGGGGATTGAAACCGTGGGGTGGGCGGAGAGACACGACGGGAAAAGTCCTTAAGGATCGGCGTTCACCACGCCAACGCGGTCGTATGGGGACCAGTGTATAGAACGCGCCTCATCCCGCCGCCGCCGCCGCGCCTCGCGCGGATGCCCAACGAGTACCTCCGAACGTGTCTCGCCTCCTGGCATATCGCGCACGCGGCGCACCACAGGTAGACGCAGAAGTCGTCCGTCTTCTCCGAGTTCCCGTCGCACGCGCACGCGCAGCAGTCGCAGCAGCAGTCCGTCCCTCGGATGTTAAACCGTCGTCGCATCTCTTGTCGGTGCGCCATCCCGTAGCACGCGAAGACGCAGTGCGCGATCGTGTTGAGCGGGCTCATCGCCTGCGCGGCGGTCGCGGACGTCGTCGCGATCGCGGACGTCAACGTCGGGAACACGAGCGTTAAACCCAACGCTTTCACGAACGCGCTGGAGTACGGCTCGCTGCCTTCCGCGCGGACGTTCGTCGCGAAGAGATGCTGCGCGCATCCGAGCGGCCACCACCCCATGCAGCACACGCCGCAGTCCGCGAAGCATCCGCCGAGGCCGTCGCTCCATTCCACCGCGAGCGGGTACCCCGCGCCGGGGACGTCGGGGTGGGCGCCGGAGGTCGGGACCGGCTGGTAGTTGCTCATGGCGAGCGGGGGGGGGCGAGAGGTTGTGCGCGAAGCACGCGGAAAAAGAAGTTTGCAAGGCCGCGCGCGCGCGCCCGCGCCGCGCCGGCCGGCGCGCCATCGCCAGCTGTCAAAAAATGCTGTGACTGTTTTCTTCGCTCTCGCGTCAACTCGTTTCAACTCGACGCTATTCGCTACGACTCAACCATCCCGGCTTTCGGCGACGTCGACATCGCCTCCGCCGCGCGCGCCGCCTCGGCGGCGTCCGCGCCGTCGTCCCCCGCGGTCGCGTCCGCCGCCGCCGCCGCCGACGCGTTTTCGAATTCTCGCGCCGTCGTCTCCCGCGGATTCTTCTCCTCCCGCGACGTCAGATCCTCCATCGCGCGCTCGGTCCCCGCGCCGCCGCCGCCACCGCCCACCCCGGAAGCCGCCGCCGCCGCCGCTACCGCCGCCGCCGCCGCCGCCGTCGTCGCCCGCGACGCGATCAGCGAGCTCACGAACGCGCTCTGCTCCGCGTTGGCGGGATCGGCTTTGTGCCTCTTCGCCGCGCGCGTGTCCTCCTCGCGATCGCCGTCGCGCCTCCCTCCCGCGTCCACGGCGTCGCCGAGGCCGTTCTCCACCGTGCCGGTGACCATCAAGAGTTTTTCCATCGCGTGCTTCAGCTTGTCGAACGTCGCGTAGTACGCGCGCGGGTCCAGCGCGAGCTCGCAGACGCGTTGAATCGTAAACGGCGGGTCGCGGCGAAACGCGGCGAGCGATCCGAGGATGTCCTCGACGTCGTCCTCGCGCGACGCCGCGGGCGGCCGCGGCGGGCCGACGACGACGGCGTCGTCGTCCTCGTTCGCCTCATCGCCTTCCTCGTTCTGGCGCGTCGCGGTCGCCGCCTTCGCCGACGCGTCGTCGTCGCGCTTCGCGTGCTCGAGGAGCGACGCGCGGAGGAGCGACGCGACCGCGGGGGAGACGAGTCGCCACTCGTGCCGAACCCTCGCCGTGTCCGCGATCTCGCGCACGACGTCCAGCACGAGTCCGTCCGCGACGCGCTCGCGCTCGTCGAGCCTGCGGGACGAGTGGAGTGGGCGAGGTCGGAGGAGGCGGGGAGGGCGGTGAGCGTCGGAGCGACGCGCGGGGCGCGGGGGGCGCGGGAGACGTCGCGGACGCCGGGCGGGAAAATGCAAATGATCGATCGACCGACCGACCGATCGCGCGGGGCGGCGCGCGGGGGAGGGTCGCGCGGAGGCGGGTTCGCACCTCGCGAACGCCTCCAGCGCTTCCACGTGCGCGGGCGTGCCCGCCATCGCGCGTTCTCCGTCGCGCTCGTCCGCTCCGCGCGCGGTCGTTAGTACGGCCGACCGCGCCTCGATTCGTGCTCTCATTCCGTCCGCCAGTGCTAAAATCTCGACGACGACTGGAACTCTACCAGACAGGTATCGCACCGCGACGAGCGCGGCGACGGCGGAGGGAGGGAGGTCGACGATTCGATTAATAGTAGGACATCATCACCCCGCGGCTACGCGCGCGCTCTCTCTGCTTCCTCTCATTCTCCCCACACCCCACACCCACTGTCTCCGCGCCCTCGCGGCGCGCGCCGCCGGCTGTCGCCGCCGCGAGCGAATAATAAATACGAAAGTACGAAGGAGTGAGATCAGAACGGCAGCGGCGGCAAGATCCCCTCGTTCCCCGGCTCTCTAAACTTCTTCTTGTCCGGCTTCGTCAACCTGAAGCTCCGCACGCCCTGCTCGAACCCCGCCGCGTTCACGTCCCACAGCGTCTCCGGCGCGGATATCGTGTACGTGTACAAGTAGTCCCCTCTGATCGCCGTCGCGCCGACGCTGTGCCGAAACGTCGTCGCCTCGCGCTCCGAGAGGTTCGGGCTCCCCTGCGATATGTACTCGTAGTAGATGTACTCCGTCCCGTCCTCGCGTCTCTCCCTCGTCGCGGACTCGACCTCCGCGAGCGAGACCTTCTGCCCGGTCGCGATCCGCCCGGTCGCGCGGTCCGCGAGCACCGCCTCGGCGACGAGCGACGGCGTCCACGCCGACTGATTTGATCGACGAGGGAGGGTCGAGCGACGGACGTCGAAAGGCGGCGTCGAAAGGCGTCAGAAGCGGAGTTGAAAGGCGTCGAGGGGTTGTGGGCGGAGAAATACACGCCGGGAGAGAAAGTCCTTAAGGAATGAAGTTCACAACGCCGACGCGGTCGTACGGGGACTAGTGTGACGACGGGACGCGCCTTATCCTTCCCCGCGAGTTTCGGCGGCGCCGGGCCGACGGTCACCGTCGCCGTCATCGGCCCCTTGAACGAGATGAGCTCGTACACGATGCGCTGCCGCGCGTCCGGGGACATCGGCTCCGCGCTGCTGTACGTGTCGCGCTGCCGCGACGGCGTCCAGCGGATCGGGGCGTCCTCGGACGTGACGGACGGGTAGGCGAACGAGTACGCCATGACGGGTTGGTCCACCGTCACGAGCGCGATCGGCTTCGGCGGCGGTACAGCTGGCGGCGGCGCGGGCGCGACGGGCGCGACGGGCTCGACGGCCGCCTCGACGCCCTCCTCCGCGAACGCGGGGAGCGCCGCGGAGGACGCGAGGAGCAGCGCGGCGTCGAGGATCGCGCCGCGGCGCGTCGATCGCGCGGCGGCGACCTGGCGAGGCGACGCGGAGGACCTGTCGTCGTCGTCGACGACGCGCGCGGCGGCGAGGACGACGCGCCGCGCGGCGGGCGCGGCGCCGCCGCGCGCGGACGCGCCCGAGGGCGACGCGAGCGGAGACGCGCGTCGGTCGGCGCCGCGCGGCGGCGCGCATCGCGCCGCGCGCGCGGAAGCGCAGCTGACGGTCGAGGCCATCGCGCGCGGGGCGTGCGTGAGTGAGATGAGATCGCGCGAGAGTTCTGACCCGAGACCTGAGACCGACGCGACGCGACGGTTCGTCGCGCCGTCGCGGAAGGTTGCACTCGATCCGAGGCGAGCGGCGAGACGGCGCGACTGGCGGTCGAGACGAAAGCGCGCGCGGATTTTCGTTCAGGGTAATTGCTCTGTGGACCGCGTATCTAGTTGTACTCCGAAGACTCGTGGTTCTGAACGTTAGTCTTGAGCGTCGGGCGGGATCGGCGCGGAGCGGTCGGTGCACCCCGCGAGCCCGCACGGGCAAACAGTCTGCGAAAAGTACAAAAGTACTAGGACGACACGGCGGCCGCTGGGCAACGAGTCGTCGGGAGCTGAGAAGAATGCCGGCGACGACGAGGCGACGGGCGCGCGGCACAGCTCACGCGCGCGTCTTCGACCGCACGCACGAACGCGTCACTTCGATCCTTCGCGACCTTCGCGAGGACGTACGCACGTTTTTGCGCGCGCGCGATCGTCGCGTGAGTCGTCGCCGGCGCGTGAAGTCGGGTCTTGGACGTCGCGGCGTTCAAACGGAGGGCGTGCGAGCGCGAGGAGGCCGCCCGAGCCCTAGATTTGCTCGCCCCGGGCTCCCGGAGGACGGCCGCACGAGTCTCGGCGAACGCGGGAATCGCGCGAGGACGCGCGCGCGGGGAGAGAACACCTCGAAGCTCCTAGACACGAATTTTCAGAACCAGGCGACGACGATGTCGTGCGCGGCGACGGCGATGAACGCGAGGTAGTGGACCGCATTGCACACGGAAACGACGAAGGAGAGGGGGGCATCTCGCGCGCGAGACATGGCGACCGAGGAGCAAAACGCGGAGCCCACCGTGGAGAAGGTTTTACAGAAATCCGACGAAGATCCGGACGGGGAGAGCGCGGAGGACGAGGACGAGACGAAGTTCGTGGAATGGGACCCCTCGGGGCGCTTCGGAAGGGTGCGCGCCCGCGCCGCGCCCGCCAAACACGTGCACCATTTTCTCCCCCGCCCTTCATTAATTAAACCACCGCGCACAGCTGTGCGAATCGGCGACTGACGAACCCGTTCCCCCACCCACCCCGCAACCCCGCGGTCCCGACAGACCACGACGCTTCTCGGCAGAGGGACGTACAAGAACGTGTACATGGCGTTCGACGAGGAAGAGGGCATGGACGTCGCGTGGAACCAGGTCAAGGTGGCCGGCTTACCCCGCGAAGAGAAGCAGCGACTCTTATCCGAGGTGGAGATCTTGAAAGAGCTCGACCACAAGAACATCATCAAGCTGTACCACAGCTGGATCACCACGGATAAGGACGAGGTCAGCGTGAACTTCATCACCGAAGCGTGCGCGCAGACGCTGAAGAAGTACAGCAAGAAGCTGAAGACGAACTTGGATCTGAGGGCGGTGAAGTCGTGGTCGAGGCAGATCTTACGCGGGCTCGATTACCTCCACTCGCACGACCCGCCGATCGTGCACAGGGATCTGAAGTGCGAGAACATCTTCGTGAATCAGAACCAAGGCGAGGTCAAGATTGGTGACTTGGGCCTCGCCGCGGCGCTCGACAACCAGCGCACGAAGAGCGTGATCGGAACGCCGGAATTTATGGCTCCGGAGCTCTACGACGAAGACTACGACGAGAGAGTGGACATCTACTCGTTCGGAATGTGCATGATCGAGCTCGTGACGCACGAGTGCCCGTACAGCGAGTGCTCGAACCCGGCGCAGATTTACAAGAGAGTCAGCCAGGGCGTGAAGCCGGAGGCGTTGGATAAGATCATCGACGCGGATTTGCGGTCGTTCATCATGAAGTGCATCTCCCCGATCGAGAAGCGGCTCACCGCGAAGGAGCTCATGAACGACCCGTTCTTGGATAAAGGGTCGGGGAAGCCGCGCGAGGTGAAGCAGCACACGGTCGTGGAAGAGGAGCCGGAGGTGGCGAGGCCGGGGGGCACGAAGCAGATGGCGGTGTTGCCAGAGAAGTCGAGCGGCGCGGGCGGCGGCAAGAAGGAGTCGACGGCGGCGGGCGGGGACGAATCCCCGGAGTATCGCGCGAGCGCGGACGGCGATCGCGATCGCGTCGGCGGCCCGGGGAGCGACAACGGCAGCGAGACGTCGCGCGCGGGAGACCCGGTCGCCGTCGGCGGGATGTCGCGCAGCGCGAGCCACACCGACCTCGCGAAGATTCCGTCCGTCGGGTTGGACGACGTTCTCAACGCGTCGGAGTCGCCCGCGCTCGCCTCGGGGTCATACGCGGACGTCGCGGGAGGAGGGGGCTCGCCGAGGCCGCCCCCGTCCGCGGGCGACGCCGCCGCCGTCGGCGGCGGCGGCGGCGGCGGCGAAGCAGACGGCTCCTCTAAGCCCGGAAGCCAGCGCGGCAGCGCGCAGACGTCCCCGGAGAGGGACGGCGACGGAGCCGCGAGCGACCGCGGCTCCAACGTCAGCGGCGCGTCCTCGCCGGAGCATCCGCACAGCGCGGGCGAGGGCAAAGGGCCGAAGAGCCGGCTCGCGACGTCGTCGTCGCGAGCGGGGAGCACCGCGGATCTGCGCGGGCATGACGGATCCGCGCACGGCGGCGACGCGTTCTCGAGCGGCGGCGGCGGCGGCGGCGGCGGCGACGAGTCGGGCGGGGGGGGCGACCGCAGGAAAGGCGGCTCCCTGGACTTCCGCGTGAAGGGTCGCATCTTGGAGGACAAGACGCTACGACTTCGCCTGCGGATAGGCGACGCGAGCGGACACACGCGGACGGTGGAGTTCCCGTTCAACACGGACAAGGACTCGTCGTACTCGGTGGCGTCGGAGATGATCGAGGAACTGCAGCTGCCGCAGAGCGACATTCGAACGGTGATGAACGAGATCGAGAACGAGGTGAAGTTCCTGAACGAGGGCATGAAGAAGAAGGACCAGGAAGGCGCAACGAACGCGCCGGGCGACGGCAGCGCGGGCGCCGCCGCGGAGCGCAGACCGAGCCGCGCGAGCTTCGTGGACGGGTACAGCAGCGGCGACGGAGCCCTCGATCGGTCGTCGCCGCCGCCGCCCGGCGCGGGGGATCTCCGACGGTCGCAGAGCGTGGACCCCATATCGATGCACGCCTCGGCTCGCGAGGGGAGGCCGACGCCGCAAAAGGAGCCGCCGATCCAGGACCACGCCCCGGGCGCGGGGGATTTGCATCACCCGACGCCGACGAAGCCGGCGCTCCCGCCGCTGCCGCCGCCGCGGTTGGACGCCGTCGCCGCGGAGAGAGAGAGAGAGGCGACGACGGCCCGAGCGGAGGCGCAGGCGCACGCGCCGCCGCCGCAGGCGCCGCAGCATTCCGCCGCGCACTCGATGCTCGAGCAGCAGATGCATCAGATGCACTTATCCCAGCAGCAGCAAGCGCCGCCGCCGGAGACGCACCAGCCGCAACAGGCGCACCACTCGCAACCGCCGCAGCACCACCACCAGCAGCAACAGCAACAGCAACACTGGCCCCCCCGCGGCGCGGAGTCGAACGCGACCGCGTCCTCTCGCGCGTCGTCCGTCATCTCCGAAGACTTCGACGAAGACGCGGAGGAGGAACGCGAGATTGAGATCCTCGCCGCGATCCAGGCGAGAGAGGCGCACGAGATGCAACGGCGGCACCTCAACGAGCTGAAGATCAAACGCGAGATCATTCAGCGGAAGAAGCTCGAACGCGTGCAGTCCAAGTCGCTCCTCGGCGGGAGCGGCGGGTCGTCGAACAGCTCGATCAACGGCGACGTCGGGCACCCGCCGGGGTCGCAGCCGCGGGAGGTGGCGCAGGCGCAGGCGCAGCACGGGGGACCGGGGGGACCGACGCCGCAGACGCAGGGCGGGTTCCCGCCGCCGATTCCGCCGCCCGGGTCGACGCCGCCGTCGTCGCCGGCGTTTCACGCCGGCCCGCACGCGTCGAGCTTCGCGCAGCAGCAGCCGCAGTTCGCGCACACGCAGCAGCAGTGGGAGGCGGCGCACGCGCAGCAGCAGATGCAGATGCAGCAGCAGCAGATGCAGCAGCAGCACGCGCCGCAGACGGCGCACTTTCAGTCGACGACGCGGAACTCCGTCGACGGCGCCGGACCTCGCCCGATGGCGATGATCAACGGCAGCGGCGGCGGCAGCGGCGGTGGCAACGTCGATCGCGTCGGTCTCGCGGGGCCCGGCGCGTCGTACCAGTCGGCTACCACGTCGCAGCACCTCGGGGGGTCGGCGGCGCTGCCGCCGTTCGCGCCCAACGCCGCATCCGGGTTGGACGCGCGGCAGCCGGCGGCGGCGGGGGCGGTGGCGTCCATGTCGAGAAGCGCGTCGATCGACTGGGCGTCCGGCAACGGCAGCGCGCAGGGCTCCGGGGACGAGAGCGAGGGCGGCCGCGGAAACCCAACCAGGGACGTCGACAAAGAGGCGAAGAAAGCCGCCGCCAAGGAGAAGATGATGGCGATGGAGGCGTCGGCGCTCTCGGGGTTCAGCGGGTCGTTGGGCGGCGAAGGGAAGAAGGACAAGGACGGCGGGAAGAAGGATCCCGGGAGCAAGGACGGCGAGACGGGCATGAAGGCGATGAAGGAGGCCAAGTCCGACGCGAGCTTCAAGGGAGTCAAGTCCACGGATAGCATCCTGAGCTCGATGTCCGCCGCCGGGGACGCGACGCCGCAGGCGTACGCCCCGGAGGTGATGTCCATGGCGCCGACGGCGTACAACGGGGACGCGCACGCGCACGCGGGTGGGGGGGGGCAGCCGGCGGTGGCGGTGGCGGCGCAGCAGCAGCAGCAGCAGCAGGCGCCGCCGCCGTCCTTTGAGCAGCATCAGCAGCAACAACAGCAGCAGCAGCAGCAGCAGCAGCAGCAGCAGCAGCAGCAGCAGCAGCAGCAGCAACAGCAACCACCACCACCCCAGCAGCAGCCGCAAGCGCCGCCGCCGCCGCCGGCGTTCACGCCCGCGCCGCCGACGCCGCTCGACCCGCCGACGCAACAGGGCGGGCCGGGGGCGCAAAATTGAGAGGAGGAGCACGCGAAGCAAGCATTTTTTTTGTCTGAAAGCGTTCACGCGATAAACGACGAGTAGAAGTAAACAACGTCTTGTACTAAAGAACAAGCAAGCACTAAACGAACGAGATCGCATCGACCCGGCACTTTTATTTTTTTTCACCCTCAGCTCGCGCGCTCCTCACCCGACGCTCCCCTCGAGCTTCAGGCTCATGAGCGCGTTCACCTCCGCGGCGAACTCGAGCGGGAGCTCGTTGAACACCTCGTTGCAGAACCCGCTTATGATGATCCCCACCGCGGTCTCCGGGTCGATCCCTCTCTGTTGAAAGTAAAACAGCTGATCTTCGCCGATTTTCGACGTCGACGCCTCGTGCTCCACCCTCGCGCTCGGCTCTCTCACGGAGATGTACGGGTACGTGTTCGCGCCCGCTTTGTCCCCGATCAGCATGCTGTCGCACTGCGAGTAGTTCCTCGCCCCCACCGCGCTCGGCGAGACCTGCACCAGACCGCGGTAGCAGTTGCGAGACTTCCCCGCGGAGATGCCCTTGCTCACGATCCTCGACCGCGTGTTTTTCCCGACGTGAATCATCTTCGTCCCGGTGTCCGCCTGCTGCTTGTTGTTCGTCAGCGCGACGGAGAAGAACTCCCCGACGCTGTTATCCCCCGCGAGAACCACGGACGGATACTTCCACGTGATCGACGACCCGGTCTCAACCTGCGTCCACGAGATCTTCGAGTTGTCCCCCTTGCACAGTCCGCGTTTCGTCACAAAGTTGTAGATGCCGCCGACGCCGTCCTCGTTCCCCGCGTACCAGTTCTGCACCGTGCTGTACTTCACCTCCGCGTCCTTCGCGGCAGAGATCTCCACCACCGCGGCGTGGAGCTGGTTCTCGTCGTACGCGGGCGCGGTGCAGCCTTCGAGGTAGGACACGTACGACCCCTCCTCGGCGACGATGAGCGTGCGTTCAAACTGCCCGCTGCTCTCCGCGTTGATGCGAAAATACGTCGAGAGTTCCATCGGGGACTTGACACCCTTGGGGATGTAGCAGAACGACCCGTCGCTGAACACCGCGGCGTTGAGCGCGCTGAAGTAGTTATCCCCCACGGGGACGACGGACCCGAGGTGCTGTTTGATCAGTTCGGGGTATTCTCTGATCGCTTCCGAGATGCTGCAAAAGATGACGCCAACCTTGGCGAGATCTTCGCGAAACGTAGTCGCGATGGACACCGAGTCGAACACCGCGTCCACGGCGACGTTCGTCATCCGCTTCTGCTCGGACAACGGAATGCCGAGCTTATCGAACGTCTTGAGAAGCTCCGGGTCGACCTCGTCGAGGGACTTCTTCTTCTCCATCACCTTCGGCGCGCTGTAGTAGGACACCGCCTGGTAGTCGATGTCCGGGTACCGGTTGTCGCTCCAGTCCGGCTCCTCCATCGTGAGCCACTTCCGGAACGCCTTCAGCCGGAATTCGAGCATCCACTCCGGCTCGTTCTTCTTCGCGGAGATGATTCGGACGGTGTCCTCGCTGAGGCCTTTCGGGATCGTGTCCGTCTCGATGTCCGTCTTGAACCCGGGCTTGTAGGGCTTGGAGAGCATCTGCTGGATCTTGTCCACCTGAGGAGGAGGAGGAGGAGGAGACGCGAGAGGAGGAGGGGGGAAGAGGGAGGGGACGCGTGAGTCGAGCGTCGTCGCGCGATGGCGATGGACGGACGTCCACGGCGGGCGGACGCCGTCGCGTCGACGAAGAAGCGAAGAAGAAGACGCGGGCGGGTCTCAGATCCGCGCCGCGCGACGGGTGACGTCGACCGCGGCCGCGGGGGGGGGGGACGCGAGCGGAGCGGCGCGAGACGAACCTCCTCCTGCTTCGCGTCCTTCTCCTCCTCGACGACGCCCGCGGGGTCCGAGATCGCCTCCGCGCGCGGGGTCGCGTCCGCGCGCCGCCACCCGACGCGCTTCCCTCCGCGCGCGCGCCCGGAGACGGAGGCGGCGACGTCGCCCGGGCTGGTAATTCCTCGCGACGAGAGCGTCGCCGCGCGTCCGGCGCGGCGGGACTTCGCGCCGACGCGAGCGGCGTTCGCCGCCGCGCAGAGCGACGTGGAAGTCATCGAAGACGCCGTGTTCGCTGCCGGCGCGCGTGACGTGCGTCGCGCGTGCGATGGAGTGGCGCCGACGACGCGCGGCACCCCCCCCCCGCTCTCGGGATAGCGAGCGAAGCGAGCGCGAGATTTGCCAGCCGCAAATTGCGTCGGGTTGAGATTGAGCGGTCGGCGCGCGATGAAAGCGATGAAAAGCGATCGTTGACCCCGACGACCGCTTTCAAGCGCGCGACCCGCTTACCCTGGCGCGTACGCAAATTACTGGGGTAAAAGCTACGACAGCGCCCCGCGCGTCCCATTCCTCTCGATGATCGACCCGAAGTCCGAGTCCCCCGAGGCGAGGGCGAAGCGACTCGCGGCGTTCGTCGACCAGCAGACCAAGTCCCCCAAGGCGAAGCGATTCCTGAAGTGGTACGACAGGTACACCGTCGCGCTGTGCGGCGCCGCGGCGGTCGCGTACGGGCTGCAGCAGTACTTCCCAGAGTATTTCCCCACCGCGCCGGACGCGTCGGCGGTGCTCTCATCAGGTGCGTTCTGTACACTGGTTCCCATACGACCGCGTCCGCGTGGTGAACGCCGTTCCTTAAGGACTTTTGCCGTCGTCTCTCTCCGCTCATCCCTCGCTTTCAATCCCCGCCCTCGACGCCTTTGAACTCCACCTGACGCCTTTGAACTCCACCCCGACGTTCGCTTGTATGGAATGGCCCTCATCAGCGAGCTCGGACGACGACCGACCGACGCCGCGCGACCCTTGATGCCCCGCGCGCGTCGTCGCCGGCACCGCGCGTAGAGACTCGACTCCCAACATGGGTCCCGCGCTCGAACCCGAAGCCTCCGAAGCCTCCCCGGCCGCGTCCGGCGCGCGCGTCGCCGCGCCGTACGTCCGAGCCTTCCTTTTCATCACGTCGCTCAAGCTGCTCCTGGTGCCGTGCTACAAGAGCACCGACTTCGAGGTGCGTTCGTCGCGCTCCGACCGCGCCCGCCCGCGCACTGGTCCCCATACGACCGCGTTCGCGTTGTGAACTTCATTCCTTAAGGACTTTTCCCGGCGGACGCTCCTCCTTCGTCCTCCGTCCATCTCATCTCATCTCCGTGGTCGTCAGGTGCACCGAAACTGGCTCGCCGTCTGCTCGCGACCCGTCTCGCGTTGGTACGTCGACGCGACGTCGGAGTGGACGCTCGATTACCCCCCGCTGTTCGGATGGTTCGCGCGCCTGGTGAGCATCGCCGCGCGCCGCGTCGACCCCGGGATGCTGACGCTGTCGAGCGCGCCGTACGATTCGCCGGCGACGACGACGTTCATGCGTTGCAGCGTGATCGCGAGCGACGCGCTCCTCGCGGCGGGCGCGTTCGCGTGGGTGGCCGCCGCGGGGAAGAAGACGAACGGTCGCGGGAAGAAGACGAACGGTCGCGGTCGCCAGCGCCAGCGCGCGATCGCGACGATCCTCGTGCTTCTCAACCCGGGGCTGCTGCTCGTGGACCACGTCCACTTCCAGTACAACGGGGCGCTGTTCGGATTGCTGTCGTGCGCGCTCGCGGCGGTCAGAGCGCGCCGGCCCGTCCTCGCCGCGGCGCTGTTCAGCGCGCTCGTGCACGCGAAGCACGTGTTCGCGTACGCCGCGCCCGCGATGGCGACGCACTTGCTCGCGTTTCACGCCTCGGACGACGCGCGAGCGGCGGAAGAAGAAGAAGACGACGAAGACGACGACGACGACGATGAAAAAAAAAACCGCCGCCGCCGTCGACTCGCTTTCGCTTTCGCCGCGACGCGTTGCGCGCAGTTCGCCGCCGTCGCGATCGCCGTCACCGCGGCGTCCTTCGGCCCCGTCGTCGCCTCCGGGACGTTCTCCGCGATGCTCGCGCGGCTGTTCCCGTTCGGAAGAGGGCTATCGCACGCGTACTGGGCGCCCAACGCGTGGGCGCTGTACAACTTTACGGATAAATGCCTCGCCGCGGCGGCTCGGAAACTCGGCGTCGGCGCGACGGACGCGCCGAAAGCGCACCTCGTCGGCGGGATGGCGGGGCACGGCGGCACCGGCGCGCAGACGCACGCGGTGTTGCCGACGATCACGCCGGGTATGACGTTCGCGTTGACGGCGCTCTTTTCGGCGCCGGCGCTCGCGGCGCACTGGAGAGCGTCCAGAAGGAGAGGGAGGGCCTCTCGCGAGTACAGCTGTGCATCACGAGTACAGCCGCGCGCGCGCGGCGGCGACTCCGACGACGACGACGCGACGCACGCGAGCGCGCTGCGCGTGCTCTCGCACGCGACCCTCTGCGCGTTCACGTTCGGGTGGCACGTCCACGAGAAGGCGTCGCTCATGGCGACGATACCGCTCGCGCTCGCGCTCGCGGCGGACGCCGACTCCGCCGGCGTCGCGTCTCAGGCGCGTTCTATTTCACACTGGTTCCCATACGACCGCGTTCGCGTGGTGAACGTCGTTTCTTAAGGACGGACTCATCTCCCGGCGTTTCTCTCCGCCCAACCCTCGCTTTCAATCCCGACACGCCGCGACGCCTTTCAACTCCGCTTCTGACGCCTTTGAACTCCACCCCGACGTTCGCACGCACGGAACGACCCTCATCAGACGTTTCGCAAGAGAGCGGGGGAGTTTTGGCTGCTGTCCACGACGTCGTCGTACGCGCTGTCGCCGCTGCTGTTCCAGCCTCGGGAGTGGCCGATCAAGATCCTCGTCCTTCTCATCGGCGCGATCGTCTCGCGGCGCGTCCTCGAGACCGTCGTCGAGGACAAGGCGAGAGCGGAGGGCGTCGCCGACGCCGACGGCGGCGGCGAAGAGTGGACCCTGCTGCGGTCGACGTCGCATCGCGCGTACGTCGTCTACGGTCTCCCCGCGCTCGAGCTGTACGTCAGCGTCGGTCATCGGCTCGTTTTCGGGGAGGACGCGCTCGAGTTTTTGCCCCTGATGCTCACGTCGACGTACTGCGCGGTGGGCGTCGTCGGCGTGTTCGCGAAGCAGTGGATCGCGTACGTCAGAGAAGTCTTCGAGTAGCGACGGCGGGGCGAGTCGGTTCGCGTCGATCGACGCGCGCGCGGGTATCGCATCATAGAATCATATAGTCACCGTAGTTCTGCCGCTACACTCGGGTATCGCCCGCCGCGGGCTCGCCCCTCTCGTTCGCCCCCACCCCGCCGCCGCCCCCCGCGTCCTTCGTCGTCGCCGCCGCGTCCGCCTCCGCCGCCTCTTTCTCCTTAGCCTGGTGCCGCGACATCCCGTACCAGTACGCCCCCGCCGTGGTGATCGAGTACCCGATGACGCCCTGCGTCGTGACCTCATTGCGGAATATCAACACGCTCGCGACGCTCGTGAAGACGCTCTTCACGTTCCCGAGGACCTGCATCGACAGCGCGCCGACGTGCTCGGTGACGATGAACTGCATGAGGTTCACGAGAAACGCGCCGCAGCAGTTCGCGAAGAGCGCCTTCGACAGCGACGCGTCGGCGATCACGAACGCGACGCGCTCGGCGATGTGATTCGGGCCTTCTAACACGAGCGCCGCGGGGAGCAGCGTCACCATGGAGTATAACGACATGTACCGCAGCAAGTTGATGCTGTCCATCGCGTTTTCGCCTTGCAGCAGGAGCTCCTGCATGCACGACTTCGTCGCGCGCATGAGGTTGGACGAAAATATGAGGCACACGCCGAATACGCTGACGCTCGGCTCGCCGCCCGCGCTGAGCGTCGCGCCGCCCATGATCGGCATCAGCGTAACCCACGTCCTCCACTTCTCTCTCTTCCCCAAGATCACGATGCTCATGAGCGCGGTGAACGCGGGCGTGCTCGCCGCGAGCGCTTGCTCGAGCGATACCTCGACGTACTTGAACGACGCGACCGCGAGGACGACGGACAGCGCGAGCGTCTGCGACAGGAGGAAGATCTTCCCCGCCTGCTCCGCGTTTCGCGTCCGCGTCTTCGCGCTCCACCTCATGTACGCGCTGAGGTGGCACCACAGGTTCGACGCGAGCATGTGAAGGAACGTGAGGAACACGGGGAGGCGGAAGTGCTCTCGCATCAGCACCTTGTTCGTCAGGATGAGCACGACGGTGGCGGAGAACCAGCCCGCGACCGCCGCGGTCGCGCGCGCCTTGGCCGTGCTTCCGGGCAAGGACAGTCGGCCGATGAGCGGGGGCTTGACCGCGACCGGCGCGAAGGACGTCGTCATGACGACGAGATCGGTGGGTGGGTCGCGCCGCGCCGCCCCTCCGCCCGCGCGCGCGCTTTGAACGCGATCGTCGGATTCGCTTCGAGCGAAACGCACTCTGACGAAATCTCTTCGATCGTTCTGGTACCGATCAAAGCGCGCACGTTCATCGGCAACTTCGCCTGGTCTTTCACGGCATTCCACGGTGAAATCGAAAGCGAGATCTGCAAAGTGAGCGCAAGCCGCCAAAGTCTGGTGGCGATAAGAAATTTCCCGGGAACTTGAGACGTAAAGGGAGCCACTGCGCGGTGACAAATCGAGGCGCGGGCGCGACACATGAGCGCGACGATGCACCACGCGGGGACCGCGGAGGACGCCTCCGCGGCGGCCGCGTGCCTCGGCGAACACCGCGTCTCCTCCCCCGGGCTGAGGTCGCACCACGGCAGCGGGATATTCGAGCCGGACACGCCGGAGCAACAAACCTACGACGTCGCGTTTCTTCACGCGACGAGGGTTAGCTCCGCGCGAAATGCTGGGTCCTCGGGGCTCGCGTCGTCGTCGTCGCGCGCGAGCGCGCGCGACGGCGGCGCGAGCGGCGGGTTCGCGGCCGCGGCGACGGCGGCCGCGGCGACGACGGACGCGTTCGTGTCGGACGCCGACGACGCCGCGGAGGAGACGCGCGACGTGGAGATGGACGAAGGCGAGGGCGCGCCCGGTGACGGGGACGATTTCGTCGCGGCGTCGACGATGCCAACGCAGACGGGCGCCGCGCGTCTCGTCGTCGACGCGCGCGACGGCGCGCGCGCGCCGCCGCCGGACGACGACGACGCGGAAGACTCCGACGGCGACGACGACCTCGACCTCGACCTCGACGACGCGCCGCACGCGCCGCCGTCCGCGACGAACACCGACGCGACGACGCGTCATCCCGCCGCGGACGCGTCCGAGGCGGAGGAGGTGGAGGACGACGACGAAAACGACTCGGACGACGACGCTCAGTTCGACGCGGACGCATCGCGTCACCGATTCCCGCCGTCGTCCGCGTCCGCGTCCGACGACGGCGAAGAGGACGAGGACGAGGACGGCACCTCGTTCCTGGACCTGCGGCACGATCGCTACGCCACGGACGGGACGTCGCTGACGACGTTCCACGAGACGCACGGCGACACGAGCGCGGCGCAGGCGCGCGCGGGTCGCGACGTGCAAGGCATCCCGTGGGATCGACTCCAGTTCACGCGAGAAAAGTACCGCGCGAAACGCGTCGCCGAGTACAAAAACTACGCCAACCTGGACTTCGACGCGAGCGCGCTCGACGGCGCGTGCGCGAGGACGCGCGCGTGCGCGAAGCGCACGCCGTTCTTCGAGTTCGCGCACAACACGCGCGCGGTGCGATCCAACTTCGTGCACTTCCAGCTCAGAAATCTCGTCTGGGCGACGTCCAAACACGACGCGTACGTCATGAGCGAAAACAAGATCGTGCACTGGAACGCGAGTCGGAAGCGCGCGAGCGTGGTGCTCGACCTGGACGGCGGCGCGAGCTCCGCGCCGAACGCGGCGACGGGCGCGACGTCCACGCACGGCGATTTCCCGCGGATACAGGTGAGCACGACGTGCGTGTCGAAGGACGGCGTCGTCGCCGCGGGAGGCTTCGCGGGGGAGCTCGTCGTGTTGGACCAACGGTCGGGACGGAGCGACGCGGCGAGGATCACGTCGGACGACAACGGGATCACGAACGCGATCGAGTTCGTCGGCGCGCGGAGCGGCGCGGAGATTCTCGTGAGCAGCAACAACGACATGATGACGCGGTTTTACGACCTCTCCACGATGCGATGTCTCGGGAGGCACAAGTACCCGTGGGCGGTGAATTACGCGTCGACGTCGGCGGATGGCCGATCGACGGTGGTCGTCGGCGACAGCAAAGAGGCGTGGCTCGTGGACGTCGCGACGGGGAGACGGATCGCGACGATGGAGGGGCACCTGGACTTTTCGTTCGCCGCGGCGTGGCACCCGAACGGGATCCTGTTCGCGACGGGGAACCAAGACACGACGACCAAGGTGTGGGACGCGCGGTGCCTCGGACGCGGGTCGCTGCTCACGCTGCGCGGCACGATGGGCGCGATTCGATCGTTGCGGTTCACGAGCGACGGGCGGTTCCTCGCGGCGGCGGAGCCCGCGGATTTCGTGCACGTGTACGACGTCGACGCCGGGTTCGAGGTGCGCCAGAGTTTGGATCACTTCGGGGAGACGGCCGGGATCGGGTTCTCCCCGGACGGGGAGTCGCTCTTCGTCGGCGTCGCGGATTTGACGTACGGGAGCGTGTTGGAGTACTCGCGCGGGCGGCGCGGCGGCGGCGCGGTGGTCGTGTGACGAAGCGACGAAGTGACGATACGATTTGCGCGCGAGGGAGGGGGGGGGGGTACTAGGAGTGGGAAGAGAGAGGGCGCGCGAAGGATGTGCGAGTGTTGAACGACGACGACGACGACGACGCGACGACGCCACGACGACGACGAACGCTTTCAGTTCTTCTCGGTCGTCTTTATCAAAACGAATCGAATCGATCCCCCACCCTCTCTCTCTCCCGATGAACGCTCAGAACGCTCAGAACGCTCAGAACGCTCACGGCCAGGACGTGAACTGGAACACCTTCCCGACGATCTCCAGCCCTGTCGGGATCTGCCACGTGAACAGCGCGAGGTTCACGGCGTTGAGCGCGATGTGCGCGTTTCTAGCCTTTTCGTTCCCGCGTTGCATCTCCGGCACCAACCCCGCGGCGGCGGCCCACAGGCACACGATCCCCATCCCCGCGTACAGGTGCGGCCCCGGGAAGAGCTTCCCCGTGCGGAGGTACGTGTTCATCCCGCCCTCGACCGCGAGCGCGGTTCCGAACGCGAGGAGCAGCGAGCCGACGTTGTTGTGCTTGTCCTTGAAGCCGCCCGCGACGAGCTCCTTGCGCGTCGTCGTCAGCTCGTCGATCTTGCCCTTCGTCTCGCGCTGCGCGGAGGAGAGCTCGACGTCGTCGCCGGACGGGAGCGACGCCTTGAGCTCGGCGATCTCATTGCCCGTGGTTCGCACGCGGCGCCACTGCCAGCCGAGGTATCCCGCGTACGCGGTCGCGAACCAGAGCCCGCCGAGGAAGAAGGGGTGCACGAGCGCGGCGGTGCGGCCTTCGAGGATGCCGAACTCGCCCCCCTTGGCCATCGCGTCGTTCGCGGCGAAGAGGATCGGGTTGGACGCGACCGTCGCGAGGAGCGCGATCCGCCCGAAGTCCGCGGAGGACTTCTTCTTCTCCGCGGCGGCGTTTGAGGCGGCGGAGGAGGAGGAGGACTCGTCGGACGCGACGACGGCGGCGCGCGTCGTCGTCGTCGTCGTCGTCGTCGTCGTCATCTTCGCGGATACCGATCGCGTCTTCGCCGCGGAGACGCCGAGGAACGGCGACGCCGCGCCGCGAAGGCGCGCGGAGGACGTCTTCGCGACGACGCGCGCGGAGACGGCGGAGGAGGTCATCATCGTCGTGGCGGCCATCGTGCGGGCGAACGCGCGGCGCGTGGTCGTGTGCGCGCGCGCGCGTCTCGGACCGTCGCTTTTTCGCGGCCTTCGTGGTCGTGAGCGGTGACACGTCATTTCAGATTTGCCGCAGACAGGCGAGGTGCGCGCGGGCTTCCCACGGCGAACGTGGTCACGAGGATGGCGCGTACGAATACACTTGTATGTGCTTGCAGTCACGGACGGCGTGTTGTTCTCGGATTCGATCGGCGGTTTTTTCTCCTTCCGATTCCGCTCGTTGTTGTTCCATCATTAGTCCACACCGACGCGCGCGCGCACCCCGAGAGAACGCCCGCCAGTCATGGCGCCCGCGCCCGCGCCCGCGTCCGCGACGACCGCCGCGTTCGACCGCGTCGTCGCGGGCGCGCGAGCCGAGCTCGGCCTGCTCGTGCAGACGTCCTCGCCGACGACGAAGTCCATCGCGGCGACGCTCGCGGCGACGTACGTCCTGAACCTCCTCGCGCCGTCGCTCGCGTCTACGTTCGCGCTCGTCCCGGAGCGAACGATCCCGTTCTGCGTCTGGAACGTCTTCACCGCGGGGTACTACGAGCAGTACCTCGCCTCCGCGGTCGTCAACGTCCTCGGGACGCTGTACCTGGGACGATGCCTGGAGCCGATATGGGGCGCGGAGGAGCTCGTGCGCTTCGTCGTGCTCGTCAACCTCGCCGTCGGGTGCGCGGCGTTCGTCACCATGTACCTGCTGTACGTCGCGACGTACTCGCAGTTTTACATCTTCGCCAAGTTCAGCGGGTTCCACGGCGTGCTCGTCGCGCTGACGGTTGCGGTCCGGCAGCAGCTCCCGCTCGACCGCGTGCCTCTGCCGAACCCGCTGTACGCCGTTCTGAAGATTCGAAACAAGGACGTCCCGGGCCTGTACTGCGCCGGCGCCGCCGCGCTGTGCGTCTTCAGCGGCGCGGAGCACCACCACATCGGGCTGTACCTCTTCGTTTTGTACGGCGCGTTCTTCGGGTGGGCGTACCTGCGATACTTCCAGCCGCTGCGGCGACGCGACGCGAACGGGAACGAGATCGTGCAGATCGGCGACGACCGAAGAGAGATGTCGTTCGCCGCGCAGTTCCCAGAGTTTTTGGAGCCGCTCGTCGCGCGGGCGACGGACCCGCTGCACGGCGTGTTCTTCGGCGAAAGGAGGGGGGTACAACGCGGAAGTAGCGGAGGTGGCGGCGACGGCCACGCGGGGGCGTCGTCGCTGACGGGGGTGATGATCGACGACGACGACGCGGCGGCGGCGGCGGAGGAGGAGTTCTCCGAGGAGGAGCGGGAGAGGAAACGGGAGCGCGCGGCGAAGGGCGCGGCGATGCTCGAGGCGAGGTTGAAGGCGAAAGAAGTGCCGCCGCCGCCGCCGCCGCCGCCCGCGGAGTAGCGCTTTTCACCGCGGTCTCGCTCGTAATACGATGTGTGCTTGCTCGTGTTAAAGACTACTACAGTAAAGAATAGTCGCCTCGTCGCGGCGGCGGCGGCGGAACAGATAAAAAATGAGACTACTTGCCCGCGATGGCGCGCCGCCCCGAGTCCAGCGTGTTGCTCAACAGCATCGCGATCGTCATCGGCCCGACGCCGCCCGGGACCGGCGTGATCTTCCCCGCGACCTTGCTGCACTCCTCGAAGTCCACGTCCCCGGTGAGCCTGTACCCCGTCTTCTTCGACGCGTCCGGCACGGAGTTAGTCCCGACGTCGATGATCGCCGCGCCGCGTTTGACCCAGTTCTTTTTGATCATGTGCGCCGACCCCGCGGCGGCGATGATGACGTCCGCCTCGCGCACGATCCGCTGCGGGTCCTTCGTCCGCGAGTGCACCACGGTCACGGTGCAGTCTTTCTTCATGAGCATCAGCGCCGCGGGCATCCCGACGATGTTGGACCGACCGACGACGACGGCGTTCTTCCCTCGCAACTCCACGCCGCTTCGCTCGAGCAACACGACGCAGCCCTTCGGCGTGCACGGCATGAACAGCGGCTCGTGGCCCTTCATCGAGAGCTTCCCGATGTTCAGCGGGTGGAACCCGTCCACGTCCTTCTCCAAGGAGATCGCCGCGAGGATCTTCTCCTCGTTCATGTGCTTCGGAAGCGGGAGCTGGACGAGGATGCCGTGGCAGTCCGGGTCGGCGTTGAAGCTTTGGACGATCTTAAGCACCTCCGCCTCGGTCGCGGTCTCCGGGACCTCCTCGTGGAACGACCGGATCCCAGCCTCGTCGCACGCCTTGCGCTTCATCCGCACGTACGTCGCGCTGTCCGGTCGCGAGCCGACGATGACGACCGCGAGCCCCGGGACGCGGCCGTGCGCCGCCTTGAGCTTGGCCACCTCCTCCTTGATCTCGGCGCGGATGTCCGCCGCGATCGCTTTGCCGTCGATCACCGCGGCTTTGCTGCCTCGGCCGCCCATGACGTTACGTTACGTTACGTTACGTTCGGAGTGTGTCGAGACGCGCGCGGAGACGGACGCGACGCGACGCGACGGACGCGCGGGAGGAAGTGACGGGCGAGCGCGGGAGGACGCGCGGACGAAGCGAAGGTTCGATGGATAAACGGAAACGCCGTCCGCGTCGCCGCGGCGCGATGCGAGCCTCCAGTTTCGACGGGGGCGTTTCGACGCGAGGTGCCGACGGCGCGTTTTCGTATGGAGTCACGGTCTCATCATCGGAAGCCCTCGTACTCGTACTCACACGAAACTATCGACGCTGCTGTTTTTATTTTGCCAAACGGGCGAGTTTTATTTCTACTAGAGCACGTTCACCTCAACTCGTCTAATACTCGAGGTCCTCGAGCAGCCCTTTCCCCCCCCCGTCCCCTCTCGCCTCGTACTCGCTCTCGTACTCCAGCGTCTCCGTCGCTTGCAGCCGCTTCGCGACCATGGGCGTGAGGTTCTGCATCACCGGCCGAAGCGACAACGCGAGCAAAGACGCGCAATACGCCAGCGAACTGAGCGCGACGAAGACGCCCAAGAACACGCCGCCGACGCTCGCGTTCACCAACCCGCTCGCGTGGATGCTTTGGACGACTAAGGTCATGTTCGCGAGGACGATCACGAACGCGAGGACGCGCGTGAAGATCGCGAGGCGGTTCGATATCCGCATCGCGCCCATGACGTTTTCCGCCGCGCAAAATTTCACGAGCGGGATGAGCGCGAACGGCAGCTGGAAGAACAGGATCACGGACGACACCACGATGAGCGTCTCCGCGTGCTCGTCCCCGGCGATGATGCACACGAGCAGCGACGGAATGATCGCCGCGCTGCGCGTCAGGAACGCGCGCAGCACCGGGTTTATCTTCAGCTCGAGGAAACCCTCCATGACGAACTGTCCCGCGTACGTCCCCGTGATGGTGCTGCTCTGCCCGGACGCGAGCAGCGCCACGGCGAATAAAATCTTCGCCGAGCTCCCCAGCGCGTGCTTGAGCATGTCCGGCGCGTTCTGCAGCGGTCGGTCGATGATCTCCTGTCGGCGCTCGTCGGAGATGCTCGGGTCGTCGATCGTCTGCGCGGCGACGATGACGACGGCGAAGTTGATCACGAGCGTCACCGCGAGCGCGCACGCCGACTCCAGCACGTTGTACTTCAACGCCGTCCGCAGCGGCTTCTCGCCCATTCGGAACCGACGCGAGAGCACGAGCGCGGAGTGCAGAAACAAGTTGTGCGGCATCACGACCGCGCCGAGGAGCGAGATGGCGATGAACAGCGCGTTCCCGTCGCGTATCCGGGGGACGACGACGCCTTCCATCACCTCTTCGCCGTCGCCGCCGCCGAGGAGGCCCATCTCCGCGACGAAGCAAACCGCGATGACGCCCACGAGCGAGCCCTGCGCGAGTGGCGATCGATTCGATTGATGACACGTACGCGTGGGTTAGCGATCGGTGGGCGGTGAGTATGTGTACTGTGCGTGGTAGACGATTCGATGACGCGTCGGGTCGGGGCGCGAGCGGCGGGGACCGCGAACGCCGTCATGAACGCACCATGAACGCTTCCAGCTTTCGCACGCCGAGCTGCTGCAACAGCAGAAACACCAGCGTGCTCGCGGACGTGATCGCGACGCCGATCACGGTCGGAATCCCGAACAACAGTTTCAGCGCGAGCGCGGTGCCGATCACCTCCGGGACGTCGCTCGCGACGATCGCGAGCTCGGTGATGAACCACAACGCGTACCGCGCCGGATTCGAGTACTCGTCGCGCATCACGCGAGAGAGATGCCACCCGGTGGCGAGCGCTAACCTGACCGCGAGGGCTTGTATGAACAGCCCGCACGCGGTCGCCCACAGGATGACCCACAGGAGGGAGTACCCGAAGAGGCAACCCGCCTGGAGGTCGCTCTCGAAGTTCCCCGGGTCGACGTATCCGATGCACATCAGGAACCCGGGACCGAGGAACTTGGCGAACTTTCGCCACGAGAATGTCTCGTCGTCGTCGTCGTCACCCATCCCGTCGACGTGCACCTCGGCGCGAGAACTCGACGTCGACGTCTTCCCCCCCATCCCCGCGTCGTCGCTCCTCCCGCTTATTCCCGACGACGGCGACGCCACGGACGCGGACGCCGCGCGCGCGCGAATCGCGCCGTCGCTCATCTCGAGGTCGCCATCCTCCGCGTTCGCCACCTTCTCGAACGCCGCCGTCGTGCCGTGGACGCCGGCGACGTCGTCGAACAGCGGCGCGCCTCGGGGCATCGCGCCGGTCGCGACGCCGTCTCGCGCGCGGCGACACGCGGCGAGATGGGAGGCCGCGAGGCGACGCGAGGGCGGCCGCGACGAGGGTGGTCCGCGCGAGCGCGAATGGCCGGTAGCTGGGGGCGTGTGCCGTTCGTCGGCGCGCGAGCGCGAGTCTCGTCGAACGCGTCAGCTGACGACGATCGCAGCGCGCCGGAAAGTCAAGTTCACCGGTTGCGCGAACGGGTCTACCTCGCGCCTCTCGCTTCGCTCCGTCGCTCGTTAATAATATAACGATAACGCTCGCTAGCCCCTTGGCACCCCCCCCCCCCCCCGTCACCTCCACGTCGCCCCTTGCTCCGTGAGCTTGAGATACGCCGCGCCGAAGTCCTCGAAGAACAACCCCTGGTCCTCCGCGTATTTCCGCACGTACTCCAGACTCGGCTCGTCCGTCGCGAGGTTCTTGTCCGACGTCAACCCGATGTGCGACGCCATGTCCAGCTCCTCCTTACTCTTCGTCGCGTCTGCCCACGGCCGCGCGAGCAGCGTCTTGTAGTACTCGTTATCGAAGACGTACGGCTCGCCGAACCCTTTCCCGCCGATCGTGTGCGCGCCCGCGATTGCGACCATCTCTCTCGTCGAGAACCCCGCGCGCACGAAGTGCGCGCGCTGCTCCTCCCCGGTCAGCGTATCCGCGGGCATCCGGTTCTCGGGGTCCGCGCTCACCGCGTCGACGCGACCGAGCCGGACGCGAATGATCGGCCCGCCGGTCAGCTCGACCGCGTACGCGCCCGCGGCGGCGATCACGTCCGCGAGCGACGCCGCCGCCGCGGGCGTGTCTCGCAACGCGTCCATCGTCGCGAGAACTGGTCCGAGGCCGCGCTTCAGGCCGAAGCTCTCCGGTCGCGACAGCTCGTACTTCACGCTGCCGTTCATCCCGCCGTCGTTCGAGGCGACGCGGTAGGTGCCGGCGTCGTGGAACACGAGCCGGAGGACCGCGGGCGCTTTCGTCTTGACGACGTTCGCGACGAGCGCCTCGCGGAGAGCCGCGCGGATCTCGGGGGTGTCGACGAACGCGGACGACGCCGTGACCGACGCCGTCGAGGACGACGGCGCGACGAGGGTTTTCGACGCGAGGAGCGCGGTCGCGGCGAGCGCGAGGACGTCGCGTCGCGATGTCGCGACGCGCGGCGTCCCGGGTGATGGCGCGGTCGGCGATGATGATCGCGTCGTCGACGACGACGACGACGACGACGCGTCGGACGAGGACGCGCGCGCGGCGACGGCGCGGCGCGATCCTCGACGGTCTCGGGCGACGCCGAGGACACGAGGCGCGCCGCGCGGCGGCGCGAGGGCGCCGAGCGCCGCGGCGGACGACATCGAGCGCGCGTCGACGGTGTGACGGCCGCGGCGTCGCGCCGGGCGATGGAAACGAGAGGATGCGGCGCCTCATCATCAGTTTCGTCGCCGGTCCTGTCGCGGTGCCATCATCACTTCTTCAGGATGAACATCGCCCCGACGTCGCCGCACTCCCCGGGGCGCGACGGACGCGAGCGCGTCCGCGACTCGATCGTCGCGCGTCACTCCGCGCGCGCCAACGTCCGCGCGCGACTCCAGGGACGTCGGCTCGGACGCTGGACGCGCGAGGAGGCGTCGTCGTCTTCGGATCAGATTCGACGCGAGAGCGGTAAGTAGGGTTGCTGCGAGGCGTTCGTCGCGTTTGAACGGCGCGCGCGCGTCATGGCGAAGGAGCTCACGGAGCTCGTGGACACGCTCATCAGCGTCATCACCAGCGACGGGCGGAACATCGTCGGCGTGCTGCGAGGGTTCGATCAGACGACGAACCTCATCCTGGACGAGTGCTTCGAGCGCGTGTACAGCGCGAGCTCGGGCGTGGAGGAGGCGCCGCTCGGGCTGTACATCATCCGCGGCGATAACATCGCCGTCATCGGCGAGATAGACGACGAGATGGACGCGAACTTAGACTACTCGCAGATTAAAGCGCCGCCGTTGAAATCGATCGCGCATTAGCACGCGCGGGGAGGACGAGAGAGGAGGCGATAGATCCTTCGGGGCGACCCTGGAGCGGAGCGACCCGCCGGGCGGCGGCGTAAGGTATCTCTCTTTCAGTTAGAAGCGAAAGAAAGCGCGCGCGCGTCGGCGTTCGAACGCTCTCATCAGTCGTCGCGCCGCTCCGCGAACCGATCCGCGAGGTCCATCCGCGCGACGTTCCCGGACTCCCCGTCGTCGTCGTCGCCGCCGCGGCTCCGAGCGATGACCCGCGTCTTCGTCTTGCTACCCCGGCCGCGTTGCCGCGGCGGCGTCGTCGTCGCCTTTTTCGCCGCGTCGTCGTCGTCGTCGTCGTCGTCGTCGTCGTCGTCTTCGCTCAGGACCACACCGGGCTCTCCGCGAAGAGGTACGACCAGCTCTTGTCTTGCGCGAACGAGATCTCCTCCCACGCCTCGGCCTCGAGCTTCAAGATCCACCTGCCCGCGGGGTTGACCTGCGCGGGAGAAGAGAATACCCGGGACACAGCTGTCACAGCCGCGGCGAAGAAAAACAGAGGGAGGGTTCGGAAACGAGAAACGAAACGCGGCGCGGCGACGCGTCGACCGAGACGCACGTCGTAGCGCTCCAACGCGACGCCGCAGACGTGCATCGCGAGGAGCGTGACTTGAAACGCGGTTAGCAGCCACGAGCACATCACCGCGTGCGCGACGATGACGCTACGGATCGCCGTCACCGCCCCGAGCGCGGTCGCTATCGCGGGCAGCGATATCGCCGCGTGGAGAAGAGGTCGCGACGAGCGATACGCGCGCGTCGCGAGCTCGAGCGCGAGCGCGACGGACGCGACCGCGGTCTTGGTGAGGCCCGTCGGTCGCGACGTGACCGACTTCGGGAACGACGTCTCGAAGAGCGTCGGCATGCGCGGGTTCGGTCGCCGATGCGGAGAGGGCGGCGGAGGGGAGTGGAGCGACGGAGAAGCGACGAAGGACGGAAGAGGGCGACTGCGGGAGTTTGGCTTTTTCACGGGACGTGGAGAGAGAGGCGTTTGGTTCGGCGACGGCGCGGCGGCGATGGTTCTCTTCTTTCTGCGTATTTTAATTTTTTCTTTACAGCGCACGTCGCCGTCGCGACGACGACGACGCGCGAGCGGCGCTATTCGCGCGAGTGAGTGCAGGGTTTACGTACAACGAGCCCGTCGCGCCGCCGAGGACGTTTTCTTTTTTTTCATCTCCTCGGCGGCGACGCTCCAACGACTCGAACAAAACGCTCGGCGAACGTCTGTTACTTCTTCTTCGTCATCTTATGCGCGCTCGCCGCGGATGCGCCTCGCGAGCTGAATGTCCTTCGGCATGATCGTGACGCGCTTGGCGTGGATCGCGCACAGGTTCGTGTCCTCGAAGAGGCCGACGAGGTACGCCTCGGACGCCTCCTGGAGCGCGAGAATCGCGTGGGACTGGAACCGAAGGTCCGTCTTGAAGTCCTGGGCGATCTCGCGGACGAGCCTTTGGAACGGGAGCTTGCGGATGAGCAGCTCCGTGGACTTTTGGTACTTCCTGTGGGATGGGGGAGGGCGCGAAGAGCGCGGAAGGTCAGATCTCCGCTCGGGCCGCGAGACTGGGACTGGATGGAAAAAAAAACCCCGAGACCGCCCGGCGCGAAAGGACCCTCCCGTGAACAACGCGGAAAATGCGGGGACGCCGCGGCGCGGAGAACGCGCGTCGACGCGCGATGCGCGCGCGGTTCGCGCCGCTAAAGCCGCGAACCGTCCCGCGCGACGCCTTCTCGAGACGAACCCGCGCGCGTCTCGCGACGTCCGCGCCGACGACGGCGTCGGGACGCGAGATCCGCGCGCCCGCGTCAACGCCGAAACCAACCCAACCCCCGCGATAGAGCGAATAATGCGCACCTGATCTCGCGGAGCGCGACCGTGCCCGGGCGGTAGCGGTGCGGCTTCTTCACGCCGCCGGTCGTCGGCGCGGACTTCCTCGCCGCCTTCGTCGCGAGCTGCTTCCGGGGCGCCTTGCCCCCGGTCGACTTGCGCGCGGTCTGCTTCGTACGAGCCATGGTGGAGCGCGCTGCGGTGTGAACTCCGCGAGAGGCGTCCAGCGGGGAAAAATACACTCCGAATCGATTAGCGCGCAGCGCGCTCCGGGAGGGCTGCCGAGCTGCCCTGCGCGGATACGAATACGAAATTATTCGATGCAGCCGTCGTCGCGCACCTGGGAAGCCGACCAAACACGCTGCCGGCATCTGAGTCTCCGCGCGTCACTCGAGCGCGAGCGTCGCGCGTCGAGAGGGAGGTCTCGCGAGCGGACGATCGCGTCGTCGCGCGGAGGCGGTCGCGAGCGCGGAGGCGCCGCGAGGCGCGGGCGAAGAGGCGGGACGCGGAAGGAACAAACGCCGCGTCCATCCATCGCTCGCCGAAAGCGAGCGGTCGCGTCGTGACCTAGCCTGACGTAGGAGCGTCTCGCGTATAATCGACGCGAGATTCGCGGTCGCGCGGCGACGTCTCGACGCGCCTCGACGCGCGGCGCGGCCCGCGATACGCGCGGAGGGGTCGCGGGAAGAGGTCGTCGTCGCCGCGAGGCGCCTTCGCGTCGTCGCGTCGTCGCAATCGCGCGTCGCCGGGCCGACGCGCGACGCGGGGTTTTTCCTAAATTTTAAACCACAGCGAAAGTCCGGACGATGAGCGCCGCGCCATCGGACGCGCCCGAGCGCCGGTCGAGGTCGCGGCAGGTGGCGAAGCCGGCGAGATACCTGGAGAAGGAAGAGGACGAACCGACGACGTCGCGCGGCGCGAGAACGGGCGCGAGCGAGGTGCGACGCCCGTCGCTTCCCGGCGTCGTCGCCGCGCAATCGTCTCGACAATTTCATACCTGTTATCGCTCCGTCCGCAGCGTCGTCGGGCGAAGAAGCTGGAAAGCGAGCGCGTTTTCGTTCGTTTTCTTCCCTTCCCGTCCTTCTTCTTCGCCCCGCCCCGTCGATCGATCGCCGCGTCGTCCGTCGTCTTCTCACCTCCTCTCCCGCGCCCACCCGCCACCTCGACCGACGAGCAGAAGAAGAGAGGCGCCGCCGTCGCCGCCAGCCCGCTCGGCCCGCGATGGAGCGAAGACGAGTGCGCGCTCTTTTTCGAACGGTTCAAGACGCGCGGCGGGACGAGCGCCGACGCCGACTGGAAAGACGTCGCGGCGGGGATAACGAACCGCACGCCGGCGATGTGCGAGGCGCTCTACAACCAGAACAAGACGCTCCTGTCGGCGGTCGAGTCGATCAGCGCGGTCGCGCTGTCCGCCGCGGTGACGGACTACTACAACGACTTCGAACGGAGGGCGCGGCTTGCGGCGAGCCAGAGCCAGAGCCGGAGCCGGAGCCAGAGCCAGAGCCAGAGCCAGGGTCAGGGCCGCGCGTCGCCGTCGACGAGCCAACAAGCGATTCGCGGCGGCGGTGGAGCGGGCGGCGCGGGGCTAGGGAAGCCGCCGATGTCGCCGAGGGTGGGGGCCGGCGCGGCGGCGAAAGGACGCCGCACGCCTCGCAAGCCGCACAGCCGCGAAGACCGGCTCGAGATCGACGTCCTCGAGATGGGCGCGTCCGCGCTCGTCCTGATGTCCCCGGCGAAGAAGGCCGCGGGCATCGGCGCGATGTCCGGCGAAGACGACGACGACGGCGAGCCGGGGGGGGTGTCCTCTCACGCCGCGTTCGCGTCTCCCTCGGCGTCGCCCGCGAGGGCGACGAAGAAGAAGCCCGGGTCGAGCCCCGGAGGGCGCGTCTTGTTCCCGCCCGGGTCCCCCGCGGCGAAACTCTCCCAGCAGGTTGGCCTCGACGGCGACGAAGACGCGCTCGGCGCGCTGGACGGGCTCTTCATGCTCGCGGACGCGTCGCAGGAGCAGGATCGGGTCGTGAAGCCGGCGCGGGGGAAGTCGCGGAAGCCGGACAAGGGCGGCGGCGGCGGCGCGACGCCGAGAGGAGGGAAGCCGCCGAGGGCGCCGCCGTCCGTGCCGTCGTCCCCGGGCGGAACGGGGAGAGGGGGCGCGGGCGGAAGCGCGCGAGGACGGGCGTCGCCAGCGCCGCTCGTCCCGGGCGCGGCGAGGTACGGCGGGTCTTTGGAGTTTTTAGAGCCGCTCGGGGGGATGGCGGGGAAGCAGGGCAACACCCCGGGGGGGAGCCGACGGAACGCGATGAAGGCGTCGCCGCCCGTGCGGCTGCGGACGCCGCTCTCCGCGAATGAGAAGAAGAAGAAGAAGATTGACGGGGGCGGGGGCGAGGGCGAGGGCGAGGGCGGCGACGGCGCGGGCTTGGACGGCGGCGAGGGCGGAGAGACTAATGCTGCCGAGGCGTGGACGCACGCGGCGGCGCCCGGACAAAAAGCGATGAGCGGCGCCGAGGCGTTGGACCTCCTCGGCGCGGTCGGCCCGAAGCACGTCGGGACGCTGACGGGGTTGGGCGACGTCGTCGGCGGCGTCGGGGACTGGACCGCGTCCACGGGGGGCGGGCCGCTGTTCGGGTCCATCGCGGGCGTGTACCGCGGCGCGCCGTCCGCAGCGCGCAGGCGGTGGTTTCTCGCCGAGCACTTTTACTCGTCCATGGACCGCGCGTGGTTCGAGAAGGGCGCCGCGCTCGGGTTGAGGCCGTTTATTGAGCATTGCGGGCTTGGCCACGTCGAGAAGTTCCCGAGGAAGGAGTGGAAGCGCGTGCGCGCGGCGATGGGGACGCCGCGGCGGTTGAGTTTGGGGTTCCTTCGAAGCGAACGCGTCTCGCTCGAGACTTGGCGCGCGAGCGTGCGCGAGAAGCACAGGCTGATGACGATCGAGGCGATTAAAAACGCGCCGCCGCCGTCGCTCGGCGGCGTCGCGCCGGACTCGACGACGACGACGCCGAAGAAGGAGAAAAAGGAGAACGCGGGAGGAGGCACGCCGGCGTCGACGAAAGCCAAGGAGAAGAAGCAAGCCGCCGCGGCCGCCGCCGCCGCCGCCGCCGCCGCCGCCGCCGCCGCCGAGACCCCGGAGGTGAAGAAGGAGAACGACGCGTTCGACGACGTCGGCGACGAGGAGGACAAAAACGACGGCGACGGCGACGGCGACGGCGACGGCGACGGCGACGGCGACGGCGACGGCGACGGCGACGACGACGGCGAGTGGGTCGACCTGATCGACATCCCCACCGAAGAAGCGCCGCCGCTCATCATGGTCGGCGACCGCGTCCTCGCGCGTCACCCGCGCGTCCTCGACGTCTTCACCGGCACCGTCCTCACCGTGCAAGGGAGGCAGTGCCTCGTGCAGTTCGAGCTCGCGGACCTCGGCGTGGACTTGGTCCGAGATATTCACATGGCTGGGCTGCCGCGGCTCGAGGACGAGGAGGAGGAGGAGGACGAGGGGGAGGAGGCGGGCGAGGGAGAAGACGACGACGACGAAGACGCCGCCGCCGCGACGCCGCGCGGCGGGGGGGTCGGGGTCGGGGTCGACGACGGCGCGCCCGACGGACGATCGCTCGCCGAAGCCACGGTGGCGGCGAAAGCCGCCGCCGCCGCGGTGGCGTCCGCCGCCGCCGCGTACGCCGCCGCGGTCATCCGAGGCGAGGTCGATCTCCGATGGGTCGACGTCGACGACGACGACGACTTCCTCGACGCGCCGAAGACGCGCGCCGCCGTCGCCGACGCCGCCGCCGCCGCGCGCGCGAGCTTGGACGCGGGGTCCGAGGCGAACCCGCCGACGAGCGCGTCCGCCGCGCGCGTCGCGGAGTGGGTCCAGGAGCGCGCGTTCGCCGCGGACGTCGCGGAGGGTCTCCTTCTCGCGAAGCGCGTGCTCGTCGAGCAGCTCGCGCGGCTGAACGCGGCGGCGGGGGCGCACGACGCGGCGGCGGGCGACGAGAAGCCGAAGCCTCCGGAGGAGGAGAAGCCGCCGACCGACGCGCCCGCGGAGGAACCCGCGCCGAAGCGCCCGCGTCGCGGCGCGGCGGCGGCGGCGAAATCGAAACCCGCCGCCTTCAAAGCGGACCCCTCCGCCGTCGCGAGCCCGTCGACGCTCGAGCCGAAAAAGGCGGCGATCGTGCTTCGGATACGCGAGTGCAACACGGCGATTCACGCGGCGTTGACGCGGCTGCGCGACGGCCCGGAGGATCGCGTCGACGCCGGCGACGCCTCCGCGAGCGGCGACGCGTGGCGAGAGTACCTCAGCGGGACGCCCGCGAAGCAGCAGCGGCAGGAGCGGTCGGACGCCGCGACGGGACCCGCGGCGGCGACGCCGTCGAACGTCGGCGGGTTGAACGCCGCCGCGGAGATTGTCGCCGCGTGCGCGTTTTCCGCGCGGCTCATGTTGATGGAAAACATCGCGGCCAAACGCGTCGCGGCGCTCGAGCAGTGCGCGGCCGAGCTCTCCGCG